TAATTCCAAGAACAATTATTTTATTCAAATAAACTGTCCCAATTTCGAACAAATGTTGCATCCAATTTATTCGAGTTTACTTGAGTTAAATAATTATTCTTTGAGTTAACAAAATATTTCTTTGGTTCAATGAAATTCTTTTCTCAGGGTAGAAAAACTCTGCAACGAGAAGTCCACGATTAGCCCCGAATTAACGACGGGAACTCGAATGGGTTTCGCCACTGCTGCTTTAACGAAACTTTCGAAATTTCCCGCCTCTCCAATCTGAGGAAAGTCCGTTTCGCGTGTTTCGCGTAAACGGATTTAAGGAACTTCGTGCCTTGTTAGCGTTTTCAAAGGCGCTGCTAATGAAAGCTCTCAGCACTCGTTGCGACCCTCTTTTCTGCAGAACTGTGCAAAATGGGTGTCCAGACCTGGTGCACTGATAAAAGCAATTCATCGAACGGAAAGAAATATTTCTTTGAACGGTACCACTTAAATGTTTAGTTAAGGTGATGTGAAAGTGGCATCAAAGATGTTTCGTTTATGAAACTTTTCTCCGAACTGGGTGTACCGAATCGTTTCAAACCGGACAATGTGAATATGGAGACTGTAAGGAACGTCCTGACACCTTCATAACTACGTGTTGAAGTTTTAAATAATTCGGTGCACTCGGTTTGGAGAGCAATTTTAACTTAATATTTTTAAGTTATATATATAGAATGACCCTTTCATATCACCTTAAAAACAGGAAGGAACGGAAAAGAATCATGAACGGGACAATTGAGAATGAATTGTAAAAAGAACACAAAAATGTTAATGAGAATCGGAAGAAAGAATCGATCAGAGCCATTCGTTATTACAGAAGGAGGAATTGTGAAATTAAATCTACGCAATTTCGCTCGTTGAAGGGAAGAGAGGTAATTAAAGAAAATCAATCGCTGCTAATTGGACCTCGGAATTAATTTTTCGACGTCCATTAATTAGAGCTTTCCTCGTTCTCCGTTCCTTGTGTTATTTTAAAGTCTGGAAAAAATGTTAATCTTTAATATCAAAGCCCAGCCATGGATCAACAGGCATCGACCTGGATCGCTTAATAATTAACATCACAAATAAACATTGATTAAAAATCCGAAGTACTAAAATATTGTGTGAATACGTGTTTCATGCGTATTAAGTGTCGTTACCCCACCTCGTTTATCGCTTTTTCTCGATTATATAATGTCAATGATGTACATACACAGAATGTGTTGTCGATCCCTGCAAGTTTGCTGTGATTTCACTTCTCTTTCTCTTAAATCTCTCTTGAAGCGTTTCGTGGCTTTGTTCTTCTCTGTTTCTATCGAGAGCTATTGTCCCTTTTCATGAAAAATCTGTATATTGTCTTAAAGGACATTTCAACGTATTTTGCGCCTTCGAAGTTGTCCGTTCTTGTATTTTTTATATCCTTGTCGACTGAAAGATTGTTTCATTTCTTGGGCAATTTAGAGCCTCTCCTGAGGTTGTCTGAATTATATTGATTTGAGAATTGTCTCATTTTCTGGAGTGCGTATTTACGGTATCGAGACGAATATCTATAAATCGGTAATTTGTATTTCTTGTCCCCAAAGTTTCTAGTTGTAATAATATTGCATTCGTCGCAGAAACTGTCTAATTACTCATATTAAACGATTGTGCGCTCAGAATGTATGCCTGATTCTGTATATACTATTATATTTATGCTCTGCGGAGTAGTCTAATACTAATAATGTTGAATTCTTCGTCTCAACGATCGTTTAATCATCTGCATTCAGAATTTCCTCTCGGAATGGTTGTCTAATTTTCGTACGGTGTATTCGTCTCACATTTGTCCAATTACATCGGTATTAGGAATTTCATTTTTTACACGCGTGTCTAATTCTATGTATTATATACTTCTGGTTTCCGGAGATGTCCTGTCTTCTATACTATTTGTTTATTGCCTCGAAGATTGTCCAATCGTGTGGTTATAATGTGGCCAATGAATTATTTTGTTACTTTTCTCAGGATCATCTTCAACTTTTAAGGTGATGTGAAAGTTACGTCAAGAAGGTTTCATTTATGAAACTTGTCTCCAAACTGGGGGTACAGAATCGTTTCAAAATATACCATGTGAATATGTAGGCTATAAGGAAGGATCTGACCCCCGTAAAATTCCAACTCGAACAAATTAGATATTTTCAAAATTGAAAACGACTGACTTCTCAGATGCCACTTTCACACCCCCTTAATACCTTCATCGTCTCGAGCATTTCCGAGTACATCCTGTTTATTCGTCATCGGGGTCGTCGAATCTTCTACAAAATGAATATATCGTCAGGAAATCTATCGGATCTACCAAAACCATAATAGACACTCTCGATGTCACGTTTTCTCGTAAGTCGTATTTCAACATCTTCGTGGTGTGACGTTTTGAAAGATCTTTGTCCTCTGATCGTCAGATCTCGTGCCGCAAAGGGTGAAATTGTCGGAATAGAAAAAATTGATTTTGGTCCCTTCTCCAGGAGAAGTCAATCTTTCGGTTTCTTTCCTGACTCCTTCTCGATGACTCTTTTCCTCCACGGCGCGTTATTAGACCGTCTTTTTCTTCCTTTCAATTTCCTGCGCCCCCGATCGATGGGGCATCCTGTTGCTCTCTCGGTTCTTTGCAACCTCCTTCCTCTACATTTTCCCTTTTGCATTTTGCATTTTGCCTCGTTTCTCCCTCGCCGTCTATTTTCCAGCATAGTATCCGATACAGCGTTCGACAACGGAGGATTCTCTTGTTACGCTTCGAGCAGCAATGGTCTCGTGATAGGATGAGAAAGTAACGAATGTCGTGGGATAACGGGAAGAGGAAACTCTCGTATCAATTTCCAAGGAAATGCTAACTCTGGAGAGATTGGATATCCCGATGAGATTTGTGCCTCTTCGGGTCTCACCATGAAGAACATGATTCAGACATCGTGCCACGATGACTTCACGATAACTTCACGGTGACTTAGCAATTGTCCAATAGTAGAAGAATCAGGATATTTTCCATCGAATTCGACATTGCAATATTTATGAATGTAAATGTTGCAGCCAGAATTCTGTCGTTTCGTTAGCGTTACGACAGGACCCTAGTAGCACAAAATATTAGTCTTATATTTTCTATATATTTAACGAATATCGTACATTGTGTAAATATTTGCAAAATATTTACTTCAGAATATTACTTTTATAATATTTATATAACATTAGATGCAGGTGATTTCGTGATATGTTTCTTATGGATATACAAAACGTTTCGTTTCATTTTAATATAATAATTTGTTTCAATATTATCTGTCGAATACGATGTAAACGTTTTAAAAATACATTAAATCAAAATCACACGCTTTGCTCCCACAATGAAATAGCGGAACGAAAATATTAGAAAAAGTTTTCGTGTTTTTTGATACCAATTGAAGTGTTCGATAATAATCGTGAAGTAAAAAATGTATTTCTATTATATGTTCATAAATTAAAAATTATAATTTCTATATATGTTCAAGAATGATTAAAACTAAATATGTCATTGAGTTTGTCAAGAAATATTTCAGATATCTTTGAATGAAATCTACAAGAAATCTGAAAAAATCTGTCGCTTAAGATATTTAGCAAAGATCACAAAGAAATATTTATAAATGATTCCATGCTACTAGGACCATTGTCGAAGGAGGTGCCTCTTCGGTTCGGACGTTCCTCCACGACGCAGGATTCCCAGGGGCGCAAAATGGTCGAAGCGTTTCCGGCAGTTAGGGGTTTTTCCGCCGTTTCCCCTCCTCCCGAATCCTTTCCGCTTTTCTCCGGCGTGAACTATTCGCGCTCGCAGCCGCGTCGATAAACGACTCTGCGGGAGTTTTCGCGAGACAACGAACTCGTTAACGAGTCTCTCTCTATTTACGAGAACGTATTCCGACGTAACTCGCAGGAGAGAGACCTCGCAATTTCCAGATTGCCGGGGCGTCCCGAAACTTTCTTCCCTCCCTCGTTTCGAGCGAGTTCCTCGTTTTCCGACTCTTTCCTTTGCGCGAGCGCATGCCCGGGAACAATCGACTCGTTAATATTACGTCGGTGCTCCTCGTGGAGGGGCAAACTTCCTCGAATTCAAGTTCCGACGTTTCTTCGGGTCCGGTGGACTCCGATCGGCGGTTCCAACTTTCGAGCGAGTTCACCCGAGCGCCTTTCGCCGCTAAGCAAAATCGATGGGAATTTACGCGGATTTTTTACACCTCGTACCCGAAGTATCCTGGAGAGGAACGGAAAATGAAAATATTACATGTCATTTTATCGGGCGTTTTTACCTCAATTAATCGTAACATTATATAAATAGCGTTTCATAGTTGCAATCCCTAGATGCTCCTTTCCCTTCACCTTAGGGCGACGTGAACGTGGCGGCAAAGGGGTCTCGTTTATGACATCTTTCGACGAACCGGATGTACCGAATCGTTTCAGACTTTACAGGGTGAATATGGAGGCTATAAGGAAGGTCTCGACGCCCCGGAATTCCATTTTTTATTTTCATTTTGCTTATGTAGGATAAAAATTGAAATTTCATGGAGGTCAGGACCTTCCTCCTTAGCCTCCGTACTCACGATGTAAATTTGGAAACGATTCGACCCATCCGGTTCTGAAAAAGTTTCGTAAACGAGGTCCCTGGACGCGCCTTTCCCGTCGCCTTAAACGGCAATCGTCCCCTCGGGGGCCAAACTTCCGCGCCGTCTGGCGGGGAGAAAAGTCCCTAGACCGGACCCGGGGATCCCAGGGAAGCCCTGCCGCGATTGGCTGGAATCCCGCCATTGTGCGGCGTCGTGAATAGTGACTCGCTGCTAGATTGCTAAGTTTAATTGAATCACGGGAAGGGACGGGAAAAGCTGTCGCGCGTCTCCGTCTCCTCTGCCCCTCTTCCCCTCGTCCCGTCGTCCCGTCGTCGCGTCTCTGGAAGGCAGGATGGGAGTTGAATGAAAACCGGGCTTTTGGCCCCGTGTTTGTGTTCTCAGGCCGTGAGCGCTCCACACAAATGGGATGTTTTCACGTACCTGACGCCGACCTTCTGCGACCACTGCGGCTCGATGCTTCACGGCATCGCGCATCAGGGACTCAAGTGCTCAGGTAGCTAAATTGCGACTCGCGATGCGCCGCTTCCGGTCGATTTGTCCAGGGATAGGGCATCCTGCCGGTGGTAGCGGTCGTCCTGCTCCTCTACGATGTGCCAACGTCCTTGTTACGGCCTTATCGCGTCCTTGATCACATCCCCGGTAACGTCTTCGGGGTATCCACGGGCACCGTTAGGTCGTTTGCCCCCGGCCGGCAAAATCGGTGCCGGCGCCGCTTTTTTGTTCAACGGTAATAATGTAAATAAATGAAAGTTGCACTGTTTTTGGCAGGAAAGTCGATGCCAGCGCCGGTTTTTCCGGATGCAATGTAAATAAATAGGAGCTTGCTCCCGTGATCCGGCAATCTCCGGTCCGGCTCGGTCGCCGGTCCGGTCGTCCGGCGCGCCGGATGTCGGAACAGCGGTCGGCTTGCCGATTATAATGTAATCTTATGGGGAATGATCATCGGAGCTGGCGCCGACTCCGATTTTGCCGGGGCGGGTGAAAATTATCATGCCCGATGCGGGTGCGGATGCAAACGGCCTTAACCGGAGAAAATGGACGCCGGTTGGGAGACCGTTCGCCCGCCATCTTGGATCGTCTTGAGAAGATTTCATGTCTAGAAAGAGAGCTATTTTTTAGAGCCTTTTCTGTTAGAAAAATGACAAATGAAGTATCCGTTTACAAGCGGTTATTGTACAACTATTGAAGTACGGAAAAATCATTTTCTTTCGTGGAAATAGCTGGGACCGGTCAAAGGAAGCGTTTCCTTCCTCTCTGTGAAGAATAACTGCAAAGCAGGAGGACGAGGAATAAAAAACAACGAATTTTCATTTTTTACATGCCGTTTATGAAAAAAAATATGTATGGCATTAAAAAATATGACTCTTTATAAAAGTGGTGAATGTTTGAGAACGGATATCACTTTTACTTCAAAATTTAGTATAAGAATATCTGTAGCAAGGTCGATTCTTAAAATGTCGCAAAACACCTACACGTTTCTTTCATAAAATCTCATAAAGAACATGAAAGCATTTAGATTTTCCTTTGCGTGCTGTTCCTTATATCAATCGGCCCCAACTATGCCATTTTATTCGAAATGAACTTTCTCCCCCGAACTGCAATAACTGTACAAGAAATGCTTGTTGACAGGTAATTTATTTTCTTTGTTATTTTCTAAAAAAATACTCGAAAATAGCTGTTTTTTAGGCGCCGAAGTAATGCAAGTCCTGATACGTTTACGTGTTAATTTAGTTTCAAAATGCAAAATCGTAACGAACGATCTTAAAAATGAATGTCAACACCTTAGAAATGTCATAACCTGAACCTTTATAATACAGTTTCAGTTTGTTATTTACCTTAATATATACAAATATACCCAAGCATTAATTACAGGTTTATAAAGAAATCTTCATTTTATCCATTTTACCTGGATGTTGACTTCGTATAGATAACTGTGACATACCTTCGAAGTATTCTAAGATGTCGGACACGTATTATATGTAATCAGGATCAGGATTTCCCCTAATTCAGGATATCCCCAGGATGTTCTCCGAGTCAGGGGTCGATAGAAAGGGGATGAAACAAGATGGCGGACGACGATTCCCTCCTAATCACAGTCCTACAAGGAGGTACTACATATTCCACTGGGGGAGGCAGGAATAATACCCTAGGTGAGGCCATCTTCGGGTGGAAAGATAGCATTGGCTTAAGGTCATATGAAAGGGTTACTCATATATATATATATAAAACGTAAAGAGATTTATAAAATTTTCCTCCAAACTGGAGGCACCGAGTCACTTAAAACTTCAACACGTGATTATGAAGGCCCTAAGAAAGAACGCGGTGCTCATAAAATTTCACTTTTGAAAATATTTTTTTTTATTCGGTAGAACCGATCCGATCTCAAATTATGCGATGGACAGAAACAACAAACACAATTTCAGATTAGTAGGAATGAAACATTATTCCGTGATACTGCTCGTAACTCAAGTTTCGCGATTCAGCGAAAATTTAATTAAACTCCATAATTTCGATACTTCTTTCAACCGAATAATTGCAGGTGGAATTAAAATTAGGACCCGGGTCTTTTATGTGCTAATTTATTACGTATGAGTCAAAGATTATATTATAAACGTTTTATTTGAATACTCCTTGTCTATGCAAGATGCCGCAGTATTTTATAAATCTATTGTCGTTTAGTACCCATTCATGGTAACACTTTTTGTAAACCATTTTAATAAAAATTGTTTGCGTTAATCATTCGCACATGGAAAGAAGTTCCAATTTTATGTCTTTCTTTAGCGATTATTATAAATATCCATAATAATTGTTACATAAATTCATAATTATTATTGTTTATTGGAATTATTCTTCAATGGAAGTAAGCCAATGACTCTGTTAGCAGCAACCCGTCGAGTTACCAAAATGGCCTCACTAAAGGAGTCACTTCCTCCACCGAAGTGAATAGTTCGAAAGCACGCACGTAGGAAATAACTGGACAAAGCCTAGGCATAAAGGGTTGTAACCTAAGGGGCGAGAAGAATGAAAAGCTATTGTCGCGGATACGAGGAACCAAGTTGGCCGCAATATTCTTTTCTTGCAGCCTTTTATCCGACAGCCGGGTCTCAATTGAAATGTTTCTCCCTGGGACTACAACTTTTCAATTAATGTCATCTTTCCTGATACCGAATAAATTGACCATTCCACCGAGTTTTAACATTAATCTAGCAGAGATTAATGAAGGAAGAAAGAAGAAATTTTCGGGTCAAATAGAGCTTTACTGCTTTCTGTCAACGAAACGATATCGAATTAAATTCATGCAAATTACAAACAACATTCAATTTTGTTAAGCTCAGTTTCGCTAAGTCTGGGTGTTTAACTTATCGTCGTCGCGTTCCGTGGGTCCAAACGTCTCGGAACGAAAAGTTAATTTGCTTCAAGGAGTCACTTTAGACTCTGTCCATTTATTTCCTATCCTACATCCACGTTGGCAGGTGAAGTCCCGATTTCAAAGCCCGTCCTAGTACCTCATCTTTAGGCCATTTGCCCTCACCCCGGCAAAACCGGCACCGGCACCGATTTTTCACCCAGAAGTAACGTAACTTTCGTTCATCGACATTATTATCGGCAAAAGACCGGTACCGGCGGATGGATCCTGGATGCGATGTAAATAAATGGGAGCCCACCCGGCCGTCTAGGGCGCCGGTGCCGGAACAGCGATCGGCTTGCCGATTCTAATGTAATCTTGGGTGAAATGGTCACCGACTTCGATTTTGCCCGGGGCAAACGACGCCTCTTGTCCGTAGTCTTCGAAGGTCTAAGGGACGTTTTGACGTTAAAAGTAAGGTACGAGGACGAGACCCCACCCCAAGTCCACGTCGAATCCGCCGGCACCCTTAGACCCGCTAGTTAGTTCCCATCTAGCGGATCCTCGTCCAGTGGCCGCGGTAGCAAAGGGTCCCTTCGAGGTGGCTTCTCTTCGCGGCCCTTTTTGGGGCCGTTCCGATCGAGCACTCGCGTCCTTTACGGACGCGCTTCGACGCCTCGGGTCTAGGGACTTCGGGCGTGCCAACGGACCCGGGAGATGCAAGACTGCACGCCAAAGGCGCGCCCTTCCTCTTCGACCGTCCATCCACTGTCTCCCCGTTCGCATCCGAATCGATGACTCATTGGCCATTGCGTACCGGGTGAGCATTGTTTGCCAACAATTTGGCAACGTCATGGAGCCCGCAAACCTAACCATTCCCGTGGTATTGCGAATTGGAAGGCAGCGCGATCTCCTGTGCCGCTCTTTTGGATAGGCAGTCGCCATATCGCGCAATTATATCACGTAAAGAGAGAAAAAGGGGAAGAAACTCCAGGGTTTCTTCTTCCTGGATAAACTCGTCTTCGAGAGCCCCCCTGTTGGCCAACAATGTTCTTAGATGGTACCGGCTTTAAGGGGACGTGAAAGTGGCACCTGAGATGTCAATCGTTCATAAAACTCTTCTCTAAACTTTTGTCTCGACCGAATCGTTTCAAACTTTACAACGTGAACATGGAGGCTCGTGATTAACATTGAAACGTTTGAAACGTTTCGGTAACCCCAGTTCGGAGAAAAGACATCTTTGACGCCACTTGCTCGTCACCTTAATGGCCTTTGCAAATACCTCGCGTAATGCCGAACACCGCCATCTGAAAGTTTCCGCATTCGATTGACCAGTTCTTCCCAGCGTGCTTACAATTTGCAGTTACGCGAGATATCTGCGAAGGTCTTGGCGCTCTTTCCTCTCTTCCGTCGTTCTATTATTTTTGCGCCCATCAGCTGTCCACTCCGTCGTCTGCCGGCCCTTTCTCGAACGCTCGCTTCGTTCTCTCTACGTGTACCATTGCGTCGATGCCTAATGTATCCGCTACCCTTGTACATACATACGTAACACCTGCCCTCGAGACGCTCTCGAAAGCGATTGGCTCGTCGGAACGGAACTGGGAATTTCCCTAGATTCGAATTTCGATTCTGTTCCGATACGCGCTGGCAGGACGGAGGACCGATATAAACACGGATCATGGACCGTAGATGAAACCGGATGGACCTGAATATTTAGTGTTTGGCTTAGAAGGTGACACGTGCATGCAATGAAAATGACAAAGTTTCTCTAGAGTCCTCACTTTCTGCATTTTCATTAGATTTCAGTTACAGAATTGACTCCCTGAACCTTACTTTAAGCGTAGGGTGTAAAGGTCATGGACAACGCGTTAAGCTTTGAATGATATCACGCGAGAGTTACGTTTTATCAACCGATGCCGTCAGATTATAGCTATCCGTTACCGTGCGCGATAATTGGCGCACAATATGTTATTAGCCTTCCTCGATTCGAGCACGAAAAGGCAATCAACCATATTTTTCCATTCGCGCGATGCCGAAGAGACATCGTTAGTAATGAAACGTACATTTCGAGATTTTCAATCGATATTGTATGCGAAAAAGGGGAGAGTTATTATGAATACCATGAAATAAATTTGGGCAGATCAAAATGCAATGCTACGAAAATATAATTAGCAATGATCGATNATATTCTAAGATTTACTCTCTGTCTGGTATACGAAAAGAGGAAAATTCAAACGCGATTACGAAATTATTAAATAAATTCGGGCAAATCACAATTTTTCCTCGATTGCGTGTATGGAAAAAAAAAAGGAAAAATTGAAACTGATTATCAACGTTACAAAGAAAGTCAGACAATAAATCGGAAGGGAACATTTCCCGCGGCGTGATTCCGATATCGATGGGCAGAATCGCGCTACCGATCCCTCGGCAATCAACGGTCGACGCTTTAAGAGAATCCCGAGCCTCCTTCCTACCATCGTTCGAAACACGGTTACACGTCGACGCGAAGAGCCTCGTGAAGTCGTCTTCGAGCCAGTTTTATAGCCGTCACGTATTGCCAGAGCCGTATCGGGAAAAATCCCAAGGTGGGAAATAAGAGAGGAAACGAAATCGCATCCGGTCCATCGCCTTCTTCGGCGTCTCGACGCATCCTCGACTTTTGCGACTTCTGCATTCCAGCATATCAATCGCGGATGTGGGACCCGCGAATCCAGTCATTCCCATGGTATTCTTTTTATAAGGTGGGACGAAAAGATCATTCTATTAAAACATTTATAAAGCTGAAGTTTCAAATGATTCGGTGCATGAAGCTTTATAAATATTTTGACGTTTTATGTATGCGGATCACCTTAAGGTAGCAAGACGGAAAGAGGGAGAACGCGATTATTCTTCTCCTTCCCTCCCTCTCGGTCGACTATGCCATCGCCATCTTGCGTTGTGCAACGGTCTCACGTTCTCTTCCTTTCGGTCCTGCATCCACGATGTCGATCCATTGTATGCGCCTTCGTGTCATTCGTGCATGCCTACCCTCTGAATGTTGAGAATAGCCATCCACGGTATCCATTATGGTCTGTTTAGTGGTGATGCGAATTCTAGGCTCTCCGTAGCTCGATGACGGATCGCGAGATGGATCTCTCGTCGCGTCGAATGGCGCATAAATAACGCGGACGAGCAGCGCGAAGGGAGAGCCGAAACGATAATATGTCATTGGGAAAGGAGATTACGGGGTGTCGTTTGAAAATAAAGATCCTTCGAGTCCGTTTCGGTTTTGGCTTCCTTTCTTCTGCCGATTTGGCGCCAAGTTTGAAAGTACGCGGGAAAAGGAGGGGGCAGGGGCAGTCCAGTAACCCATGCAAACTATATATGCTCACGAATTATGCAGCATGTGATATGAACGTTCACAAAAGATGCGAGGAGAGCGTACCGAACCTTTGCGGATGCGACCACACCGAGCGTCGCGGACGCATCAATCTTCACATCACCTGCACCGGAAACAAACTCACCGTCGAAGGTACGTACTTCGTTTTCTTTGAAATATTCATTTAAGGTGACGTGAAAGTGGCGCGAAAGGGTCCCGTTTATGATACTTTTCTCCGAACCGAGGGTTCCGAATCGTTTCAAACTTGACAATATAAATATGAAAGCTGCAAAGAAGATTCTAAAACTCACGAAATTTCAATTTTTTTTACATTTCTTTATAGGTATTTTTTAAATTTGTTATAAAAAATGAAATTTCATGAGGATCAGGACCTTACTTATAGCCTTCATTTTCAAAGTTTAAAACGATTCGGTACACCCAGTTTGGAGAAAAGAGTCATGAACGATCGACCCCTCGGATGCCACTTTCACATTCCTTTGAGCGACGAGAAACGAATTCCCTTTAAAAGAATAAACGATAGACCAATCAATCTAAGAATGAAGGGATGGAACCAGTGTTGCCAACATCAGTTTTCTTTATTCCAAGACAATCGGATTAAAATAATAGATCAATTCGGTACATTCAAGAAAATAATACGACAAATTGAGAAGTTCAAATATTTAAGAATTTAGAGAAAAGTTGCGTCCGATGTTAAATAGGAGAGTAAATGCAATACCCAAGATGGCGCAGAGGGTCCCTCTCCAGTCAATTAGGGCCTCGGAAACCATGAATCCAGAGGATTTCTGGAGTTTTACCTCGATTTCTTTATAATTAGTGTACGAAGAGGACAGATGGAGTATACCATTTAGTACAATACCCAATATAATTCGACACAGCTGTGAAAATAAAAACGAACGTCGGCAATGGAGGTATTTAGAAAAACCTACGTCGATCAAGCTCCTCCACGTGCTTCACTTCGCCTTAAACGATGAATGGAATTGAATACATTTCTTTATAACGCTCATTTCTAATATTTCAAAAGTCAACTGGAAACTGAACACGCGATTAACTGTAATGAGCCGAAAATGAACTGAACACTGAATAGTTTAATTTCATTCTCTATTTTAACAAAGCACAAATGTCTTTACGAGCAAAACGAAGGATGTAAAAAAAATATCTACCAATGATAAAAACGTCATCCATACAGTTTCTTTTTCTACCGAAACAGTGGTGCAATTTGCGTCGTATATATGCACAGTACTCCGAACTGAAATAATAGGATGAATACTATCATAATAGTACGATTGGCAATACTGGATGAAAATGGTATTGGATACAACGTGACATGAGGTTTGCAGCTAGTATAGAAAAATGGGACGGGATGCATTTTCATCCGAGATTTAGTACCGTTGACGCAGGCTCTTAAGAAATATAAAACTGATTTGTTACCGTAGGTTTCTATTTTACCCCTTTTTACGTCAATTTCCAAACGCGAAAATAAACTAACCCCCCCAATTATCGATGGGCTCGCTCGATAAAGAGTGATTTCCGTTGACAACGAATTTTCGTAATTTTCCCAAGTTCCGCTGACATTTCTTATCGTCAGATAAGAAAAGCGACTGTCTAAAATACAGTGATTAGATGATCGATTACCGATTCCAGTGAAGCAAGGGAGGAATCTCATTCCGATGGATCCGAACGGACTGTCGGATCCCTACGTCAAGCTGAAATTAATTCCCGACTCGGACAACGTCAAGAAGAAAACGAAGACGATCAAGTCCTCCCTGAATCCGGAATGGAACGAGACAATCATTTTGTGAGTATCTGGCCATCGAGGCGCAGTCGGGGAGCCCAATCGATTGTTGCTTCGAGACGAGGGTAGAACGATTCCATGACAAGCGGGTCGCCTTTCAAATAGAGATGCGAGTTCATTGTTTTATCAAATAGATGTTTCACTCACAGCTGACAGTGATGCACAAAAACATGCCATTCAAAATTAAGTTGATACGAAAGGGTCATTCTTTACATATAAAACGTCAAAATATTTATTAAACTTTTCTCCAAATTGGGTGCACCGAATCATTGGAAACATCGGCATGTGATCATGGAGGCTCTAAGAAAGAACGCGATGCTCATGAAATTTCCTTCTAACAAATTCTTTTATTTATCCCAGACTAGAACCACGGATACATTTTTTTTTTTAATGAAATTTTATGAGCATCACCTTCTTCCTTAGGACCTTCATAATCACGTGTCGAAGTTTCAAATGATTAGGTGCACCCGGTTTGAAGAAAAGTTTTATAAATATTTTGACGTTTTAAAGAATGACCTTTTCATATCACCTTAATAACTCCAAGTTTTCAAAGATCGTCAGGTGATAGTTTCGGAACAAAGATGATCTCGTTGGGGAAGAATGCTAAACCCTTTCATTATTTTGAGTTCATGTGTGGAGTGAGATCGAAAAATTATTAGAAAAAAATGGATATCGAATATGTAGCATCAAAGAATTCAGGAGTTCCTCCAGAAGCCCAGAATTAGATCTATGCATTTTGATCCCACTTTTGCATATCGATCCGGATTGCATATAAGTAATTATTATGCACTTAAACATCCGTCCAATCGTTTACACATTTTTTAACTGCTTTCTATAATTTCAATTACAAGGGCACAATTGTGTTCTCTAAAGAACACGATGTCACGGTTCTCGGCGCGTTCAGGAGTTTAGATGGAAATGTGGTCATCCAGAAAGTGAAAGACTCCGAGCTTTGTTCAGACAGGACTGTACAATTAAGGAAGGTTAACAATGATAGTCAATAGTTTTAGACAAAAATGATACAGCAATCCTTATGTTACTATAAACATTTTTTGGAGAAACGGTAAACGCATGTTGGCCAAACATTTTTAAATTATAAAAGTTATATTTACGATTGCAATATTTTTTACTAACATTGGCAATCTCCCACTATCCCGCTTAGTTATAACGATGCTTTCTTTTGTCGTTACAAATTTATTTGCTCATTCAGTACTTTTTCTAAAAAACATTTATTACGATCACAATTATATTGACTGCAATTTCTGTCGTTAGTGCATATGCAACTGCAGTAAAAGCTAAAGTTAGTTACGACATATTTTTCTGGAAAGAATTTTACGCAATTACGTTTCCATTCCACCTTATTCATCGAGATAATATTTAACACCTTCTATACAAGTAGCGATGTATAAAAGAATCCATGTACGATTTTTTACCAACCCCTCCTGAACAAAGCACGTCGGAGGGATTAAATACTTTCCATATAATCCATCCTTACCATTGTCGCAAAGAGTTACCGAGGATATTTAAGGGGATGTCAAAGTGGCGTCCGAAAGGTCAATCGTTCATGAAACTTTTCTACGAACTAAAATTACCAAATCGTTTCAAACTTTACAACGTGAATGTGGAGGCCCTAAGGTAGCTCCTGAAACTGATGTAATTTCCTTTTTTATAAAAAATGTTGAAAACATTGATAAACAAATGAGAAAAAAAATGGAAATTTGATGGGCGTCAGGACCTTCTTCATAGCTTCCATATTCATATCGTTAAGTTTGAAAAATCGTTTCAGATTCGGTAAACTCGGTTCGGAGAAAAGTTTCATAATCGAGACCTCTTCACGCCGCTTTCGCATCACCTTAACCTCTTCGTCTCCACAGCGATCTCAAGCCAGAAGACAAAGACAGGAGACTGCTGATAGAAGTCTGGGACTGGGATCGGACGTCCAGGAACGACTTCATGGGCTCCTTATCCTTCGGCATCTCCGAGCTCATCAAGGCCCCCGCCAGTGGCTGGTTCAAACTCCTGACCCAGGAGGAGGGCGAGTTCTACAACGTCCCCGTTCCCGAAGAGGGAGTTGACCTCGCCGAGCTCAAGAGCAAGATGCGAGTTAGTAGCGAACACCTCGTCCGGATCTGCAGAAAAAGTGTTTTTCATTTTATTCATTTTATTCGTTATTACCGAGTAGAATATTAGCCCCCATTTTATCTACAATTCCGAGGAGAGAGTGTCAAAAGTGACGCAGCTTTATGAAATGTTGCTTTCGACGCTGATACAAATCAATGGAAATTTAAATACATTTCTACACACTTCGTTGTTTTGCAAAGTGTTCTCTCCGTTTTGCGAAGCTGCTTAAAATTCATAGGTTATATATTCCATTCGTTGTATTCTAATTGCAAGAAATTCATGCAACGAGCCATGTGCTGCCACCCAGAAGAAGAAAAAAAAAGATTCAAGCGTCCGTTTTCTATCGGGAGAAATACATCTCCGGCTCTTTAATTTAAACAGCTACATTTTATCGTTCGTCTAAATAATGGGTCGAAAAAATGTAGACGCATCGAACACGATACGAAACCAAATTATCGATGTACGGAGTTGAAATTATTTTATTTCATTTTTATCTTGATTCAATCTCCTTTTCGTAACTGCGCACTATCCACATTTTGTAGGGTCGAATAAAATAAGATTTGTAAACAGAGCACTTTCCTCCAAGAGTGAAAAAATTGCACTCGACGATGAATGAATTTTCTAGGTAGCAGTACATGACCTCTTCCGGCCCCTTGAAAGCGTCAATTATCGAATAGTTACAAGTTCGAAAGCACTAAAAATGTGATTTAACGTCGTAGAAAACCTCGGTGACGAAAAAGTCAACAGTGCCGCAGGATAAGGAAGTTCCGCACAACATGGGCAAGAGCGACGTGATCCGAGCTTCGGACTTCAACTTCCTCATGGTTCTCGGGAAAGGCAGCTTCGGCAAGGTACTTGAAATACATTATAACGTCGCACGAACGACTACTACCCTAATGGCACAATATATTTCTCTTATATTTTCCATATATTCAAGGAATATCGAACATTTCCTTAATATTAGGCAGACATTTGAAATATTTGCAAAAGAAATGCGTCAGTGGTCCGTGAACCGTATTCGTTTTCAGGTCCTCCTGGCAGAGCGGAAGGGCACGGACGAGCTCTACGCCATCAAGATCCTGAAGAAGGACATCATCATCCAGGACGACGACGTGGAGTGCACGATGGTGGAGAAGCGCGTCCTGGCGCTGTCGAGCAAGCCGCCCTTCCTCGTTCAGCTGCACTCCTGCTTCCAGACGATGGTCGCCATCGATCCTTCCTGCACTCTAGGCTGGCCCTGGAAAGGCAACACCTAACGTTAATCTCGCGTTTTCAGGATCGGCTTTACTTCGTCATGGAGTACGTCAACGGCGGGGACCTCATGTTCCAGATCCAGCAGTGCGGCAAGTTCAAGGAACCCGTTGCGGTGTAAGTGCCTTGACTTTTCAGCTGGGGAGCCTTTGGCGGAGATAAGGGAATCGCCGCCATTGGGGGGGGATAATGGGAAGTACGCTCGTATTGTAATGTCCTGCACGCGGGATACTACCAAGCGGCTCCCGGAACGTCTCAAGGTGATGCGAAAGCGGCGCTACAGAGGTCGCGTTTCTTAAACTTTTTTTTTTAATTGGGGGTATCGAATCGTTTCACAATTTACAACGTGAGTACGGAGGCTATAAGTTAGAAGTGATCGTTAAACGAGAGCTTCCCCGTAATTCGCGTTAAGTGACTTTACGATCGTATAGTAGTTTTTCCGGCACTTTCGCGTCAGCTCGAGAGAGGCTTTTGTTTCGTACCATCAACGGTTTAAGCTCTCCGTCCGACTTTACAGATTCTATGCCTCGGAAATAGCGATCGGTCTATTTTTCCTTCACGTTCGGGGCATCGTTTACCGGGATCTCAAGCTTGACAATGTCCTGCTGGACCACGACGGCCACATCAAGATCGCGGACTTCGGAATGTGCAAGGAAGGCATCACCGGGGACAAGATGACGAAGACTTTCTGCGGCACTCCGGACTACATTGCCCCGGAGGTGCGCTGTTATTGAAATACATTTAAATAATTATTCAAAGTGATATCCGCCAGGCTGCGTATGAAGCGCGTCTTGTCATCTCGCGCACTTGCCTAGTAATACGGAATAATTTTGTCTTATATTTTCTATATATNAAATTATTAAAACTAAATATGTCATTGAGATTTTCAACAAATCTTTTAGACAGCTTCGAATGAAATCTACGAGACATCTTAAAAAATCTGTCACTTGAGATATTTAGCAAAGATTACAAAAACATGTTTAGAAATTATTCCGTACGGCAGTAATGATCATTACTGCCGTTTATCCCTTACTTTTCTTGCCCCGATGCTCCCGAACCCCACGAATCGCCATTTTCCCTTTCTTTAGGACCCTCATCCAATCCCTTACATAAATAGGAAAATCTGGAAAAACCAGTGATTAGCCGGTGATATTCGTTGCATTAGCACTTGTGATATTGAGATAAAAAGTATGATACTATTCCTACCACATATTTGTAATCTTATTCCTTCTTATTGTTACTTTTAAATTCTTCGACGTTAGAGTTTTTCTGAGTAATCATTTACATTACCTCCAAGTCGATTACACGGACTGCTGTGCAAATGGTCTTTTTCTCCTTGAATTTGCCTAGGGAGTTTATTTAACCCGTTTCATTCGAGACCTTTGCCTTTCGACCTGCCAGCGGCGATTGCAATGAGTGCAATGAGTTAAAATTAATGAGCTATGACGGAGGGATTGAAATAAGATATTTATCACTTCGAACGGAACCTGTAGGTTTTTTCTTTTTATTTGGACAAGAACCAGCAGAGTGTATATGTATCGTTTAAACGATGAGCAGGTCCGTTTGCTTTTGTTTGTTCCTTTACAGGGATGATTAATAATAACATCGTAATCAATGTTACAGATCATTTTGTATCAACCTTATGGCAAGTCCGTTGACTGGTGGGCCTATGGGGTTCTTCTGTACGAAATGCTGGTGGGTCAGCCTCCCTTCGACGGGGAAGACGAAGAGGAACTCTTCGCAGCCATAACCGATCATAATGTCAGCTATCCGAAGAGTCTCTCCAAGGAGGCCAAAGAAGCATGTAAAGGGGTAAATATCCGCACGTCCTTTTCATACATATTTTGTTCTTCATGTCCTAGTAAGTGGCAACGTGTTTCAGATAATTGGCGCAAAGGTTAGGCCTCATTAAATCCTTTTGGTTAAAAACGACGCCAATTCTATATACATCAAAACGTCAAAATATTGAAAACCTTTTTCTCCAAACTGTCCGCACAGAATCGTTTGAAAGTTTTGTATACGATGCGGCGAGACTTCCCATCCCTTGTCGGCAAATCGTCATACGCCTTGGACCCTGCATGCGAAAGGGGTCAAGCCCGGAAAACTGATTTATATTCGGACCCCGGAATTCCGGTGCCGGATAGTCGAAGCAATTCGAAGCAATTCGACCCGGTTCGATCGTCGGGACCGGCCAGTCAGCCCCGTGAGGACCTTACGCCCGCCACGGCACGGTAGAGTCGGGGAGCGGAGTTCGGTACGCAAAAACGGTATGAGTGAGGAGTCGTCCTCGGAAAGGTAGACAAAATAATATTAAACGGAAAGCTGCGATAAACGATCCCTTCGAGAGATTTATTAACCGGAACAATCACACGGGAACGCGTCACTGGCACAATGAATACGGAAGCCCTAAGAACTCTTGATTCTCCTGAATCTCATTTTTTATATTTTCTTTTAACACTAAACATCCCGACAATTTATAACCCCATTACCAATACCATTTAAAAATGGTAATTTGACCACCAGCCGGTGGGAGGTTTAGGGTTAATTAAACAAATTAAATTTCATGGGCTTCAGAAGTTTCGTTGGAACCGCCATACTCACCTGGTAAAATTTTATCCTTCAAATGCCGCTTTCACTTCGCCTTAATTCGGCGATCCCTGAAGTTTCAAAGAACGTTGCAGAAATAACGGACAAATATGAAGAAAGGAGAGTTCGTTAAAACTCTCCTTCTCTCGAATGAGTCATTCCCAGGGTGCCTATTCGGTGCTCAGCCAATCAGAGTCCTCCCCGAATAAAGTAGCCATAACAGGGAACCGTCGGAGGCTGAAGAAGCGAGTAAACGTGTAATATCTCCGGACGTTCTCTTTTTTAACGGGCTCCTGCGAGGACCTTCCCTCTTCCGAACGAGACATCCCGACGAGCGTTTGCGTCTTCAGCGAATCAAAGTTGGTTCCTCGCAAAGCGGCCAGTAGGCCAACTCGGGTCAAGTGTGTCGATCCGGAGCTTGGATGCCCTGAAAACTGGCGAGAGATGAAACGAGTCCGCCACTGTTGACTCGTCTTCGCATAACCGGAAACCACTGGAGACCTTGTTGGGGAGAGTTTAACCGGAGGTTTTATTCACTCAGGAAATCACGGATTTTAATGCTCGAAATCATGTGGAAATCACCGAACGCTCACAATTTTAAGGTTAAACGTCCCTCCTTCGCTAATCGCATTGTTATTTATCATATGAAATCGAAGGAAATCTGCTCTCAAAACGGGTCATCGTTTTCACCGATTTCCGACTGAATACTCCCTCGGTTTAACCACTTGTGCAGGGAATTTATTAAAAATTATGTTTCGCAATTTTCAGGTCTCCTTATTCAGGTGGTAAAATTTGAAAGAAATTGGTACCCCCAATTATCTATAGAAATCCAATGAAAATATGATGTCATTTCCTCTTCATCTTCGAAGGATCATTTACAAAATTATCATCCCCTCGTTAACTCATCTTTGTCTTCGCTTCCAGTTCCTGACGAAGAATCCGAGCAAAAGATTAGGCTGTGGTCTCAGAGGCGAAGAGGACGTGAGGAGCCATGCCTTCTTCAGGCGCATAGATTGGGACAAGATTGAAAATCGCGAGGTGCAGCCACCGTTCAAGCCAAAGATCGTAAATATCCCTTTTCTATGAGTAATTATCTATTACCATTAATTGCAGAGAAAACTATTAAAAACCTAATCTGGACTGCAATAGTTACGGCTTTGGGGTTAAATGTCGTTGTTTCTTATTGCATTTTATCCTCGATGTAAAAATTAGGAAGACCTATTCAAATCTCGCGCCGCGTTTTGACACGGTAATATGGCTGTCCCCCCCGTCTTGTGGCTTCACCTCCCATGTCTAAGTTCCCATTTTATGCCCAGTCTCCTGTATACCCATGTCCCTGGGTATCAGCTACCCAGCTCGTATATAGATCAGTGATACGGACAATCGGGTAACATTATGTAACGGTGTGCCTTGCTTTGATCAACAGAAACACCGCAAGGACGTGAGCAACTTCGACAAGCAGTTCACCTCGGAGAAGACCGACCTGACGCCGACGGACAAGCTCTTCATGATGAACTTGGACCAGACCGAGTTCATGGGTTTCTCGTTCCTGAACCCTGAGTTCGTGCAGCACGTTTAAGGCGATCCGTCTGTCCCGCTCTTTCCCCCTCCGGTGCGCTATCCCCTCTCTGTCTCTGTTTCGCCTCACGTTGTATCATCTGCGCATGGTCTCTTGCATCCTATGGCACGAAGGAAGGAGAGGCTTCGACGAAACCACCGATCAGGCGTGAGACTCTCTCGCGGGGTGTGACAATCGAATATAGAATCGGGTTGCGGCCCACGTCAGGGCGAACTCGACGCGCAGGTTAGGAAAATGGCAAAATGGCGGCCAAGGACCGACGCCGAGTCCGCTCGGCTCTGCTGGCGGCTTCGCGTGGACAAGGAAACGCGCAACGATCGGCAACCGATACACCCACGAAGTGGTATCGGATACAACGCCAGCAAAATGTGGACCCCACTTTAGGGGTCCAAGATCTTCGGATTTTGGCTGATTTAGGACCGAGAACGCCGCCTCGATGTAATTTTGCAATTCAAAATTATCGTCCGCTAGTCTTTATCGCGTTAAAAACGTCGCATTCTGTACACGATCCGCGGATTATCGTTTCGCTTTCATTTCACCATCTCCCGTGTTTGTGCAATACATAAAGTGCGTAAGTGTACCACTTTCTTATAATAACAAATATACGTATTCGTTAGAAAACTTGGAATATCAATTCTCATGAAATTTATAGATATGTGAGTTCCGCGTCCGTGTGAAGGAAATTAAAGCCAAGATGGCGGATTTCCGCGTATCCACGTCCACGTGAAGCCGCCAAAAGCGAACCGTCTTCGTTCTGCGTACGGATATATATATTGCATTTACTTCAGTAGCCTCTACTGTCGCCTTCCAGAGTAATATGTGTATATATGTGCACAGGTGTACACACTTGCGACAAGTCGGTGTACAGGTTATGTATGCATATATATATATACATACATCTACGTATACATATACATCAAGTTTCTATCGGAATTTCGTTAATGTTGCACCTTTTGAAGCGAGTTTAACTTCGTTAGCGCGTAGTCGAGTTAATTGTTAGATAGGGATATACATATATATACATATATATACATAATACATAATATATCCCCAGAGGACCCATAGGAGAACTAGGTCCTCTTTCTTTACTGACTTTCCTCCCAAGGAGGACGCGATGCGAAAAAGCAACCCTTACCCTGTCCCTTCCCTTAGTGCGTGGACCCTGCGTAACATGTCCCTTTTCGGAAGACTTTACGGTGAGGCGAACGTGCTGCTTCGCTGACAGATTTGGACGAACTACAGCTTCTTTATGTATCTGGGCATTTGTGCAAGAAATTCTCTTTTAAGGTGAAGTGGAACACGTGGAGAAATTTCATCGACTCCGGTAAAAGGGATGCTTCTAAATACCTACGTTACCGACGTTCGCATTTGTATCGACAGCTCTTTCGAATTATATTGGGTATTATACTAAATGGCATACTCCATATGTCGTTTCCGTGCAATAATTATAAAGAAATCGAAGTAAAACTCTAGAAATCCCCTGGATTCATAGTTTTTGATGCCCTAGTTGAGTACGGAGCGTCACCCTGCGCCATCTGTGATTTTAGTGTCAACTAAAGTTTCTAAACAACATATGGAGTATGTCATTTAGTACAGTACCCAATACAATTCGACACAGCTGTCGATATAAATACGAACATTGGTAACGAGGGTATTTGGAAGAATCTTTTTTACCGACATCGATCAAATTCCTCGATGTGTTTCGCTTCACCTTAAACGAGAAAGTGATTCGCGTCTCTATGAAACAGTTTGTGAATTACTCACGGTTATTTCCAACGTGTCGTTATCGAAGCTACCAGATATTGTAGTTTGCTCAAACCTATTCGTCGGTACCTTTAAATCACCCTAATGCCTTCCCTTCCTTGTAGCATAGAATTCTGAAATTTTCGCTCCTTTTCAGCTGAAATTTCTTCTAACGCACTGAGGAAAAAAATATAGCTGTCGGAATCACTTGTTAACCACACATATGGTGTGTTTTGGAACGAGTGTTGTTTAGGAATCATAAGAAATGTGAAGGATTGGATGGCAGTTAACCTCACTTCGGTGTGCAAGTAAATCATGGTTGTAAGAACCTTGTCGCCGCGCAGGACAGATCGCTTGAACGAAACATCTTATTTTTATAAGATGTTTGTAAATTCATTACCGATCGGAGATCTGTGCAAGATCTAAACATTACAATCAACGACATTTTGTCACATTTCAAACTTAATTTTAATTTTAATAGAACATGTCTTCAACGTGGAAGTTCTGTTTGCGAAGAAATGCACCATGCCAACACTTCATTAACTTAGCGTAACCTCAATTCGCGGACGTTAAGCATGCTGCGTAGTAAAAAGTTCAAGGTTGGATCCACCTTATCATGGTTTAAATGCTCCGAAACATAATCGAACCGACCATGATTGCAATTTTAGGAACACTACCACTCTCGACGAGCAATCGTGGTCTATCCGATTGTCATTTTTTTTTTCTCAGTGCGAGATCCAGTCGACGAGGTCGGTATCGGCGCAGTGGTGAACACTTTGCCGTCGAACTTTTCGGAAAGTTTTTTATAGATCCACGAGGAATTCTTAAATACCGAAATATTCATTCTTACGAATTTAACACACCCGAACTTAGCGTTAAGAAGTCTGTGGCATTTTACGCATACGCGTATATTAGTATGCAAGTGTGTATACTTGGCGCGAAACTCTATCGGGATTCCTGATTATTATGTCGAGTTAGCTTAGTCGATACCGTGGTTCTTTTACCCGTTCCATTTTGATCTCACCTCATGGACATAAGATACATGGATGCTGCGAGGTGATCCGATCACGAAAACAGCAAAACCAAAAGATAAACAATGGAATGACTGCCTCGTCGTTTTTTTTTTTCTTTTTACGTGAAACCGTTGCGCTACATAATGGTACGTCTACCAGCAAGAGATGGAAAGAAAGAAAATAGATCCTCCGTTCTTTCTCTTTTCGTTCCACGGTCTTCGTAATTGGATCAACGTGTGGACTCCACGTGGCGAAATTACGAAAAGTTGCAAAAGCACTTTCTGCAAGGTTTCGACGTGTCTCCACCAAAATCTGCTGCCGACCTGGTTTCTGGTTCGACAAATAGCTCAATGAAACGGTTGCATATATATAGAGGTCTGGAAACTCCCATAGTGAAAGAGGAACAATCGTCGTAAACGGTTTTCATGAATCGTTTGCTCGAAAAAGTCGCCAAGGCAGAGTAAGGTCTATGAAACAGATGAAAATACATCCTCGCTCCCTATCTTTGTTGTGCTCGCACCCGGAGGAGGGTTTTTTTAGAGGTTATATTTAACGGAACTGTGCCGCATCGCAGCGCCGCGTAGTGGCAGTTTGAGGAAAGAAAAGATGCTGGCACCCACCGTCGAAATCTTAAAGAAATTTTCAGACACGTATGTTAGAACGCGATCTAACGTCCGGTCGGGGAACTTTGCCAAATTTTCCAATGACAAGGTCCATGTTGTGTGGATCAAACTTTACCTTACCTTAGTGACAAGTGGGGAGAATTTCGACAAAATCGTCTACGAATGTAAAGTTTTCCCTACCGTAAGAGTTTCGAGACCTGGGACCCGATTCTCGAGTTCGTACGATCAACTTTTGCACGCGATATTACTTTCACATAATTTTCTTAATTTTTCGTGCGAAAAAAATCCGCATGAACGCAAGAATCGGGTCCCTGTATATACGACCGTCCGGAGCGATCATCCGACGTTTACCTGACTCGTTGCAACGACGTAACGATTGCGTCAGGATTGAAATCGTCACGTCGTTGTTGCTAGTCGCGTCGACGGGGTCGAAGCTCCACTAGGACCACCGAAATATTATACGTGGTCGACCCGGATCGCCGATCTCCCGGTTACCCTCGATTCGACGATCGGCCTCGTACGAAGAATTCCGAATTTTCCGTAGAAGCCTAGATACAAATATGGGCTTGATGCGCCCTAAGTTTGATAACGAACATTTTTTCGGAGTTGAATGAAAGATCGTACGATATTTCATGTTATATTATGTAAGAAACGGGTACTGTGAGCGAGATAAAGGAAGCACGTAATCTACAATCTATCGTCGTAAAATTAAGGTAATGTGAAAGTAACGTCAATATGGACTCTATAAGAAAGGTCCTGACACCCATGGAATTCCAATATAATTAAAATTTGTTTATAGATATTTGATTAATTTGTTATAAAAAATGAAATTTCACGTGGGTCAGGACCGTTCTTATAGCGTCCATGTTTATGTTGTGAACTTTGAAACGATTCGGTACACCCAATTTGGAGAAAAGTTGATTGACGAACAAAGGTGATATGAAAGTGGCTTCCGAAGCGTCAAAATATTTATAAAACCTTTCTCCGAACTGGGTGCACCGAATCATTTGAAACTCCAGTACATGATTATGGAGATTCTAACGAAGGTCTTGAACACGTGAAATTTTATGTTTTCAAAAAAATGTTTTATTTATCGCGGACTAACACCTTTCATATCACCTGAGGTGATATGAAAGGTCTGGAAATTGCGCGAAATTTTCGGAGCGAACTCGTTATTGTCGGACGTACCGTTTAACATGAAACGTACGTATCCTCTTGAGCTTCTACGGGAATTTCTGAATTCTTTGCCTTGTATCAACTCGTACACGACTAAATTACCCGAAGGATATCCCGCTGATCACTGTTACCGATTAGTGACAGCTAATTGGCGACTTCCCGAGACGTGTACTCGTAGCGAATCGGCGGCGAAGTTAGGATTATCGTTGCGCTGCTATTGGCGAAACTACGGATCGACTGGAATCCTTCGGAACCTGAAGAAAAACGCGACGTAAATGCGAAAACGTGTGAGTTGACAGTGAATTTGTTTCTCGAATAGTTGTTGCAAAGATGTTACGTTCGCGTTTTTCTATTGGGAAGGACTCGGATAAGAAAGATTCTCTTGGTTGTCCTGGTTCGAAGCACATAGCATAATTTGATCGATGTTAAGCATCGAATCCATCCAGTAAGATAATTGTAAGTTGATGATGTTTGAAATTGTATTAAAACTCAGTATATCTTTTTAACTTAAGCTATAAGAGGTGTAATTTGGAAGGCAAAGTAAATCATGAGTTGCAAATGGTGTATCGTATACACCTTGTGCATATTTACTTTGATTTCCATTAGTTGCAGCAAAGTGACTTCGGTGTTCTATACAATGCAGGATGAAATCATATTTGTTATGGATTATTTATCAACTTGTCAAACCTTCTTAACCTCTGTAAATATGTGTAAAGAATCTGAATGTTTGCTTGAATTTATAAATCAATTAGGATTCGAATATTCATTTATTAGGCACTCGAATTCATCCGATTGATTAACGATGCCAGATTTTGATGAATTTGTTCTGTCCACTAAATCCAAGAGGTACCCGAGAAGACTCTTTCTTATTCGAAGAGAATCACTGCACACAGGACCTGCGACTTACTGCAAAAATACCGTGGCAATATTACAGACATATCGCAGGAAACACTGCAGCAATGACACGGAAGCATTTTGACCATGAAAGGACATTACTTTGAGGCTCCGCAGTGTTCTTTGTCGAGTGAATCTTGAGGATCCGTTCGACCCGTGAAATTTTTTGTTCGCGCGAAATCTATTCTTGTATACCGATCTTCGATGAGTCTTCCACGTGTCTCTCGCGCGCGCTTTTTGTACAAAGTTTCACCCATGCATCGCCTCTTCGTGGCCTGCCTATGTCCTCTATGTACACTGATTGTGGGACGATGCAGTCGAAGCAATCTTTACGTTATATTCTCAGAATTCTGGCGCCAAAAGTTTTCTTGCAGTTGCACGGGACGTGAGTAATTCAACTAAGGAATGTAGAGAACTTGTGCCGTGTAATTTCATAGGTTATGGTTGCAGGAAACAAGATAGGTCACTTTCTAGGTTAGCTATGTTTCGGAACCTCATTTAATAGAAACTTATACATTTGGAAAAATTTGATTTTAAGCACTGCTTCGAATTGGAGTATTCAACTATTATATTTCTGATATTTTTACAGTGATAGTTTCAAATGCTACGATATTCTCAGAGATATAACCACTATTGCTCGAACTGTAATTTCATTCTCAGTGGATGTACTCATCCTTCTCATAAGAGCTGCGTAAAGCACCGTTTCGAATAGTATTTTATTCCAGATGTTCGATACATTGTTTATATGGGGTAAAGTACTATTTTAGTTAAAGAGTTGAAGTTTCGAACATTCACTGCAAAACTAATGATTCAGTTATAATTTTTTTTAATTATAAAAGTTCAGAGATAAAAATCAAAATATAGGGTTTCTTAATTATTATGTCAGAAGTTATCGTTATTCCTTAAATCTCAGATTGTAACAAATAAAAGGTTGAGGAATGTTATCCGAGAGACAACACAATCATTGATTCAAGCTATGAGTAAAACAAGTTAAATTAAAGATTTCACTCACTGGTTGTTCTAAACTTCAGCGATACTCTTCGACTGATCTCTACACAGCTCGTTCCTCACTGAATTGTAACCTTCTGTCTATTTTTACCTGCCATTACATTCCGCTGGCTAAGGGATAGACTCTACAAAGAAGGAAATGAAGTACTTCGTGCAGCTTTAACCATTCGCAGGGAAATTAATTATCTAATCTAGAGACAGCGGATGTTGTTCAAGTATTACAGATGGATAAGTCGCTGCGTTGGAATGATTTTCCATGACTGTAACAAACGATTGTTATTTTTCTCTTGTTACGACTCGTATGATGTATCATGTAGTGTAGCATAACGTAGGACCTCAGAGGACTGATTTCCTAAGCGTATTTCCTACAAGTACTTTAAGATCCCGATGTCGTTTTAACGATGATTTTACTATTGAACAGTCCATTTAGTATTCAACGATATCTTTTCTGTACTTTGTACATGAGACTGTGCATGTGAAACCATGCCATGAAATCATGTATATCCATGTGTGGACCGATCTTCGACTATCTGCGATTATCTTTGCGAGCATCGTTAGACCATTACCTATCAGGGTCTGGATCCATATCATAGGCCAATCGTTACTTGTAATTATTCTCCGTATTACTTAATAAGCTCCGCTCTGCTGTCGAATAAGGCGAAGAAACCCGAGACTTTAGATATTAGTTCTGATAATACTTACCTTAAAGTCGTACAGACATCTCGAAATTATTAATGTCAGATTTTAAAACAGAGCTCATCGACGTTAGAAGAAGATTAATAGTTGAATTCGCTCGAGATTAAAATGGCATGTTCAGGCTGGGAAGTCTTAAGATATGTTAATTTGGAGAGATACTAGTTGAAATTTTTTAAGATTCTGGATCATGGTATTATGTAGAAGACTGGAAATTTCTGTCATTTATTTTCTTAGACGATTTTCGTTCAACCTTTGTCCATCAATCACTAAAGTAGCGTTAGGTCTGTCAAACAGGTAGGCATACCTCCCCTTTCTTGGGCCCATGTACAGAAGATGGCGTCTGAGGTTAGGTTTGACAGTCACGTTCAGTTTCTAAAGCTATCAAATGGAAAAGTTTCGCATCAGCAATTTATGATCGTTCCCTGAAATGTGCATACATTTTTAAGGAACCAGTCGATACCTGTAATGTATTTCGGAGCATATCGGTGCTGCTTTCAAAAGTGTTATGGAGGCATTGTCACAGGTACTATCGTCAAAGTGGATTGCGAAGTGTTACCAGAATCATGAATATTCGAAGACTTCACTACTCGAACACTAGAGAATCTGGCTAGTTAGCACAAGCCCTTTACAAACGGTAACACTTTTACCTACTTTAATTCCAGATGGGATTTAGGATACGTTAATGGTACAATTATCGATTACTCATCAGAGTCTATCTCTCCAGTCAACGGTGGCCTTCTCAAACCGATCTCTTCAGCTTGTAAACCGTGTGCTGATTCGATGATAAATCCTGTGTCTCAGTTCCGTTCCAATGAGTACTAATAAATATGAAATAGGAAACATCAATACATATAGAAAACTCAAATTTGCTAAGCACAACTCGCATGGAAATTCCAATCAAAGATGCAGTTATCAGTTGTTCAAATTTGTTTTGTACAGATGTTTTGCATCGATGTCGGAGGAACTGTACAAGACAGAACTTTCGAATTTTTAGACGTCGAGATTCTGAAAATATTGTCACCAAATATTCTCTGAAAAGAGAGTAACGGTATTTAAATACAAGATGAATTTATTAAATGATTTGAAGTTTAAACTTTTTCTTTTCTCTCCAAAAGAAGATGTTCAAATACGACATGAATTCATTAAATGACCGTCATTGTTTAGAATCCAATATCAAAGATGTAAATCTGTAGAAATCGACACACTTAAGGGGAAAACAATTCTTGATCTCGTTTAATTACATGACATTGTTAACCAGCAGTGATTTCTCATCGAGTCGGTGCAACGGCGTTAATTATCTGATTAAAAGTCTAATCCTCTGTGGAGGTCAACATTTTCGTATTAATTCTAAGTATTGTAGAGATGATCGATGCCCCCAACCATCTTCGAGGTGTAATCTATCTTGAGCGTGCACTATATTTTTAAGAATATTCCGTACATTTATAATAAAGAAGTCCGGGTTCTGTCACGAGAAACGCCTTTTTGCGACGCGGCGAAACGTGAACGGCTCGTCCAACACTTTACTTGATTTCCTTTCATTCACCATCAGTTGGTCTGGTTCAATTCGCTGTACTAGTTGTTACTTATTGTTAATTGTTAAAATCCTTAATTATATATTACAATACATGTATGTACATATAAACAGCGATGTTCGCGCAATCCTGAAACCGACACCCTCGACTCGTTCTGGAACTCGATCCATCCCTGAAATATCTGTTCCTAGTGATATTTATTAATTAATTTATTTATTAATCCTCTTGCGGTTTTCTTTACGTTCGCTCGCTTGATAAAGAGAAAAAACATAAAAGAGAGAGAAGTCTTTTATCGATTAAAAGACGTCATTTAGTCATAAAAATGAGATATTAGTCGGGACTAGAGTTCGAAAATTCTGGGTAACATAAAATTGGAGAAGGTAATTGGGAAACATACCGTAAGTTACCGAGAATATCGAGAATTTATGAGAACGTTAATTTTGTTATTTATACACTTGAAGTTTTTTCGTTTAAGTAGCATTTCTTTTCGATGCACTTTGAAGTTCAAGTTAACGAATAATAAATGTTATTAAAAGATATTGATTAAAAAGTTTTATTTACTTCCAGGTAAAAATATTTACGTATAGCTTCCCAGAAATTCCATGTGATTTCGCCCAGAATAGAGCCGACATGCATTAAGCCGACGATGTCGTTCAACGAATCAAACGAGAGGTTTCGATTGGTCCCAGAAAACGTGCAACGGAAGTTCTCCTGCTACAGGGTTTTTCTACAACCAATCGGAACCTCTCGTTCGCTCCGTCATAAATTTTTTTCTCGTAATTTCTCGGGAAAAAAAGCTTTGGAGAAGTTACCGATACGTTAGCAGGAATTTCTCATCCTTCCTGATGTAACTTACCACGTTTAGAACACTAGTCGGGACCTTATAGGATGCAATGGCATTAAGGTCTTAATAAACAAGTTTGAATACGCCGCCAAATCGTTTAGTTTGTTGGAAGTGTATTGCCAGCAAGGATGGCGTTGATGTCTGGCGCTTAGACCATAAGGTCCAAAGGCCGGCTGCGGCCGGCAGTCGAACAGTCGAAGGCGAGCACAGGTGTGCAGTTCGCAGGACGGCATGGGTGAAGTCATCACGGTTTGCCGTAAGTTAACTCACCTGATTCCTACGTCCGAGCGTATAGGCGTAGGATATGTGGAGCAGATTCAAACATTCCCTTGGTATTCCGATGGAGGCGAAGGACGGAAAGAGGAAGAAAGGAGGAACTATTCTCCCCCAGTGCTGTTAGATAGTACGTCGCGCAACGGTTTCAGGAGACGAGAAAATGGTCTCTGTTCTCCGTCTCTTTTGGCTCTGCTGTTTTCATAGTTTAGGGTGTAGAATTAATATTCTACGTGTACGAGTCTGATTATGAAGGCAGTAAAACTAAAAAAGGGAGAACTGAGGGACTTCTTTCCCGGCCTGTTAGAATGTTGCTAAGTTGCATCGCTCAACCGTTTCATATATACAGAAGGGAAGGTCAAAAAATGGCCTTCCTTCCCCCACTTTTTGTTTTGCTACGGGCAGAAAAGTATCAAGGGAATGATTGAGTTTGAGGGCTTCGTACATTCAAAGTCCATGACGAGGCCGAGGTGAGGATTATTCGAGGCGTCGAAAAACAGCCGGCATGGTAAGACGCCATTTTGTCGTCGTGAACGCCTCTTGTCCAATATTGCGGCATCGAACGCTTCTGCTTGCCTTCTACCTCGTTGAATTTCTTGTGATGATTCACGTGGAGTAAAGTCAGTGCACACCGTGAGCGAGGATTTAGTCAAATTTATCATCGAGATGCGTTCCCATTGACAAGACTAATGACGTTGAATCTGTGGAACTAACCTTAAAGGTATTGCGTCGGTGTCTTTTAAAATTTAAATATAGAGTTTAAACTCCGTCATACGCTTAATTCCTTTTTCTCTTCTTGTTTTTCTTTTTTAACATGATCTCACCGTATTATTTGTTAATTTTATTTGACCGCTGCGATGCTTAATGTTACTAAAATCAAAATATTCAAAGGAAAATTGTTCTTATTTTGAGGTTATATAAAGTGAGTTTTCACTGATTTTTAGTTAATAGAGAAACTGGGCTACATTTGTGCAAATTGTAAGTGGCTGTGCCATGTTCTCCTTGTCAAGGTGCACCGATTCAGATATATTTTGTTCGGTTTTGCTGATTTTTGTAGTCGAGTCCGTGTTCATTGCTAATGTTTTTAACCCGTTGCTTCGTGTGCCCATAGGAGCATGGAATCACTTCAGCCAATGAGAAACTGCAGAAAGGTATGAGAGATGCCATCGTCAAATGCTCTCCTTCAAAACCAGGTCATCCGAAAGCCGAATTCCTGTTACTTAATTTTTGAAAAGACCGTAAGTATGCAAAATCATCAGAATCTGCTACCTGGAACCAAATGCAACTCAATATTGGATGAGGTAAACAATAATAATTGACTCGTTAAGTACGTGCACAGATATGTAGCAATGGATGCGAATGCCTTACAATGAGATATCGTTCGTGATCATTAGGGTGCACAACCATTTCAAGAACATTTAATTCTTTGATCGCTCTCTTCAATTTAGTGAAGACAATAGCAATGAGTTAAGGCGTAATCGAAGCAAAATATCTTGCATATGTAGTAAAGCAATCGCGTAGAAGGTTGCAACGTTACGTAAGATTTTTATGGGGAAAGTGGACCATTTCGGAACTATAAGAAAGAAATCGGTTGTAGGTTTCCACGGAATAGGGGAATTTATGAAAGTACAAGACAGACGTGCGGTGTCCCATCGAAGCATCTGCTTCGTATGTTCTAACCGATCCCGGGTGATAGACGTGAGGATGTCGGGGCCAATTTCCACGTCGACAATATTTGGGACCAGCGACGCCCAGGGATTTTCGATAAAGCTCCGCGATTTCCCGAATACCGAATTGCGACACGGCACGGGCCTCGACCGAGCGGCCTCGTGCTACGGAATGGGCGGCAGGCGTCTTGCGAAAGATGCTGATTTTCGATAACACGAGCTTCGGGTTTCGGGCTACGGTCGGCTTACGGTATCCGGTGGAGGGACCAGGTTCGATGTATCGCGATGAGCTCGAGAAGGATCGGGTCGGAGGAAAATCAGTAATCGACTTATTTCCTTGAAGTCACAACAATTTTTTCCATGCTTTTTCCTTTGCACGGGGTGAGTGCCGGACGAGTAGGCCTGGCGCACAGGCGCACGTGCGGACGGGTTGAGGACATTGTAACATTTCTTTCCTTTTTTAACCAATAAAACAACGCTTAGTGGACATTTTATGGCTATTACAATCTGATAAATGTTCAATAAGTAATTTTGCTCTAGCTGGATTTAATTGTGATAAAAACTGCGACGGATATTGGGGCCTCGCACCCCACACCCTGCAAATTTGGGCTTCGTAATATTTTTTGGGGAAAATGTCGACTTCGGTCGGAAGGTAAAATTTGAAATATCGAAAAAGACGGCTCACTGTATTTCTTTTCGGGGCAGATTCCGAAATGTAAACGACGGACGCCGGTCGAAACGTTTCTTGATCGAATTCGAATATTCTCGTCACAAATTAAAATAAAAGGTTTTCATTGCACACCGCCATTTTCTACTACGCGTTCCGAAAACTCGTCTTTGGTTTGTTAAAACTTACATTTTACCATTTAATGTTTAGAACTCTTTCGGTGCATGGGCAATTATTTTTAGCCTCGGCAATCCGCTTATAATAACGTTCGATACGACGAAATCGTTTAACTCTTTCGATACGGCTATGCCTGTCATCAAAATGCGAATAATACAAATACAAATTGCGTTTACGGAACTACGGTATGGGCCACTTGCGATTAAAGTTCACTATTATTAAAAAGAAAATGAAAAAAGATTTAAAAAATAAAAAGTGAACGAGAAAAAAATTCGACTGACGTTGGGAATCAATGCAAAATTTTAGCATGCAACTATAGTCACTCGTAGTATTGAAAGGGTTAAACTACAATTGTACTAAGGTAATTATCTTTCTCCTAATGCGATAAACATTCCGTTGATATATTTCGTTAGTTAAGCCCAGAAATGTATATCGTCAGCATGGTAATTACGTTAACTTACGACCGTCTTCGTTCAATGATACAAGAAAAACATGTGTTTTCTTAGGTTAAGCTTGCGACATTTTTTTCACTTTGTACTGTGGTAATTTTGTCCTTTTTGGCAAAATGTTTCGCGAGCAATCATTTATGCGAGACGAAATAATACCTCGAAGACTCCGTGGCATGATAAATCTTTATTCCGTAATGAAGTACACTTCTGCGCTTAGTTAAGCTGGAAGTTAAGCCATCGTTGGCAACATGCGAATGTCTTTGAATAGACGTATTTTACACGTGTAATTATTATTTATAGATTAGGACAGTAGGTACTAGATATTGTACATGTAATATTGGGTAGTTCCAAAAATTCCGTCGTTTTCTGGCCACCTTGTTTCCCGTTCTTCTAACTTTACTGGCCTTGACTTTATGTTACCGACTGATTAACTTGTGATTTACACGTGATGTTGCTTCAAGGTTCGTCTATAAAAACGACAGAACGTTTGGAATGACGGAGAAACGTACTCTTGCGATGATGTAAACACCTTCCATATTAGAAAAGAAGCAACACTGGAGCAAGATATTAAGGGGTATAAATTAAATTTATTGAAAAACTTGGTACAGTATGGAAAAAAAAATATTTTGACGTGCCAATCTCGCAATACTAGCATTTCTCGACTCACCGAATAAGATACTCATGGACTTCATTGAAAAGAATACTCGCTTTGCTCTGCAAAAGCGTTCTTTTATAGACGCGTTAATCTCCGAACCAAGGAGCTTGCGTCCAACTCCTTATATGGGCATATCTCGAAGCCCGCTGGACGATGGAGAAACGTCGTTTCTGTAACAATGTAGATCTCAAGACAGGGAAACGTAAAGGGTTAACAAGATAATTTCTTCTAACCCCCCAATGTCGATCATTAATTATCGATGGACCTTCTCCCCGCCTAGTTTGGACGAAGAAAGAAATTGACAAGGATTGGGAATTACCACCTTAACGTTTTGTTAAATGTGTACGGGAAAATAAAGATGTCCTTATTTCGCTGGAATAAATATCAGCCGCCATGACGTAGTTGGAAGCAGAGAACTTGAGGTCAGTTACCTAGGAACAACGTTCTACTTCGCGCGAAGAATTGCATTTCCATTGTCAATGGATCTCCTGGAATACCACTGATGACTCGGGAGATGTCACTTGGACCTGGGTGCAATCTCAAGAATCCATGCCTGCGGAATTAACCAGAGGAAGTTCCTTGGACAGGACGAATATTCCTGCTTGGAAATTTCAGCGGTTCCTGTTCCATTGTTCCTTTGTACCATTGCTGCAACTGGTGTAGAAATTCGACCGTCGAACGTTACCAAAAAGATTTTTTGATCTGGATGAATTTCATCTCGAACGGCTGGTCGGGATGCCGATGGTGATGTCAAGAATGATCCCCATGCGGTTCTTAACTGGATGGGTCCAGCGACGTGCAACGCGGCTCTATTTTGAGTTGCATTTTTATCGTCATTGAATCTCCTGGAATGCCAGTGGCGGTTCTAATGGTGATGACTCGGGAGAATTCACTTGGACATGGATGCGGTCTCAAGGATCCGTACCTGCGATTAACCAGAGGGAATTTCTTGACCAGGACGGGCATACCTGCCTGGGTATTTCATCTGGGCCTTGTTCCACTTATACCATCGCTACAGCTGATGCAGATATTCGGCTGCCCAACGTTACCAGAAAGATTTTATGATCTGGACGAATTCCATCTCGAACGGCTGATCGGGATGTCGATTGTGATATCAAGAATGGTCGCCACATGGTTGACGACGACGGCCTTTCATGGTCCTTAACTGGATATGTCCAGCGACGTGTAACGCTCCACTACGGAAACAGACGAGTTGATCCGACATGCCGAAAGATCAGGACATGTATTCCTTTGACTTCGTTTATGAACGCGCTAAGCAGTAACGAATGAGGATTTAATAACGCCTTGGAAGAATACTGAGCGTTAGTAAGATTCCCCCATTCAATGTGGCCTGCTAAACCTCGCCTTGTTGGTTAAGAATTAGAAATCAGCTCGTCATTGAGGAATCTGACCAGCTTCTAGCGCAGTTGAAACGAGCCGGAAGTTCGTGCAGCGTTATGGCTTGGTAGGTTTACGTTCTGCAAGAACCTCTGGGAGGGACCTCCGTCAATAAATTTTAGTCATTGATGCGGAGCGGAGCGATTTACTTTGGACAATGTCGTATGAAATTGAAGGTAGAAGGCTGCTCAGCTTCGACCAATCCAATTGATAAAAGAATTTGGGAATAACGAGAGACGTCTGATAGCGTCGGAATCATCGGAAATGCGGAGCAGCTGATCGTCCGGCGGTACTTCGATGCGTTTGTCTGCACGTTATCAATAATTGGCGTTCTTCGGACCATCAAGGAACGGAGATCATTTCAAACTCTTCAATAATTTCAAGCCACTCGAATCGATGTTTGGACGTGTTGAATATCTCTAAGGCAAGTCTCTAATTATGCGAGATCTGCTCCTCTGCAATATTGTTCGGCACTCCCAGGCGCTTGACAAATACAAATGATGTTTATTATAAATGCGAGCGGACCATGGACTTAGGATATAGATACGACTACGAAGGCCGCAAGGCTTAAAGAGAGGAATCAGCTGGGCTTTTCTTGCGTTCTTTCTCTCTACGCGAAACGATTGCGTAAAACAATATGGCGACAATTTACCGAACGGAAGAGAGGGAAAGAAGGGGAGAGCAGCCCTCAGTTTTTCCTCAACTTCTATTTTGCTGTACTTCCGAAAATAACAACGGAATTGTTGGGTTTCCTAAGTCCGTTGACTAAACGTTTAATTAGGCCCGAATGTTATTACATTGCCCGCAATTGAGATTAGGCGAGCGATACAGGAACGGAAAAGTATACATAACCCATTTAATGCCGAACGATGATATATCGTCGTTTTACAAGTGCTAACTACTTCGAACAGCACTAAAAGGGTAAAATAGATCGTTCAGGTTATTAACGAAGAGAACGAAAGTTGAGTAAACAGCGTTTATGTAAAATTAGGCGAATTCACTAGAAAAAGTGACCAGATAGGAAACAGATTATGCAATCGTGACGCTAATGACATTTTAAAACCGTAGTAGAAATTTAGAACCTCAGCGACGATGCTCGTCATTCGTTACCAGATTTTCAGATTTGGGAAAAAATAACGAATTTCGGGACAACGGAACCTAGGAAGAAAGAGTTTAGGTCGGGGCGCCAAAGACGAGTAAAGGATCGCGAGAAAAGATGGTGGGGAGTACAAATGAATAATTAAGAAACCAAAGTTATTTGCAGAAATATTTCTGCATGCAACTTTCCAAAGGACAATTTATACCGGATCACAAAAAAGTCACGAGTCATGAAACTTTTCGGTGGTTTCCGTCCGACGACCGCGAGGCAACGATCTATCTTCTTTGGACGCTTCCAAATAACGATTTAAAACGAAATGGAAAAACTTTCAAAAAGCGAATCGTATTTTATACGTCAATGTAATTATTGTGGCGCGAGAGCGCAAAACATAAAATTTCCTACTGGAACTATAATTAACGGACTACCTTTGTGACGTCTTAAGGGGAGAAATTACAACTCAGATATCCGTTTTAACGAATCTTTAATCATTTTTGTATATAAATGAAACGCGAGAAAAAGAAATGAGAAGAAGGGGTTCTCCTCAGCTGATCCACCGCGGATCATTCTACATAGGTGGGGACGGTTTTTTTGCTCTTTGTCTTCTTTCCACGCGAGGGTTGTCCGTTCTTGGGCTTGTGTACCTTCTGCTATGGCATTTCCTGTTGGATTAGCTTTTGTTCCTTTCGTTTCTGCCGGCTGTTGTCGCACCGCGCGCGATTTAAATCGCGACTGTCACAAGTGGGGAAAAAAAATAATTGAATACGTCGAATGAGCAAAACGTGTCATTAAGAACGCGTCCGCGGCCGCTTGGTTCTCAGATTCGGCCGGCTACAGTCACATTCTTGTCCAAGTTCGATTTTCAATTCTAGACCAATCTCGCCCATGTCCGATGATCCTAACGATCTTTCGGCTCTAACACCGGAACATTTCCTCGTCGGAGAGGCTCTTACCAGTCTTCCAGAGTATGATATTCGGGAAATCAAGGACGATCGATTCTCTCAATGGGAACATGTAAAAAGAATGCGACAGTTCTGGAATAGGTGGTACAAGGAGTACCTTAACGAGCTTGCTAATAAATTTCTGTTTAAATAGTAGAGAAACGACCTCTTTCTTATCTCGAGTGATATTAATTTGGTAGCTCGGGAGTGCCGGAGTACACCGATTTCAACGGTACAGTCCACATTAACTTGCCTTAAACCTGGACTTCGCAAAGGCTTACTTTCGGTAACGTCTTTTCTTTGTCTTCTTCGTTGACAGAGAATTGCGCGTTAACTTTTTCACACCGTGGGGTGTCTTAAGGTTGGAGTTTCCTATGATCCTTCCGTCGATCCGGAAGACGTAGAATAGTGTTTCCTAATTGTTGAACCAATGTTCGTTGGACTACCGAAAAATATTGCACATTACCTTTCCACGTTGTTGCGTGTCCTAAGGTTGGAGTTTCCTAAAATTCTTCCGTTGATCCGGAAGACATTATTGTTGGACCAATGGTCCTTGGAGTATCGAAAGATATAATTGCACCTTACCTTTTTCGCACCGTGGGGTGTTCTAAGGTTGGAGTTTCCTAAAATTCTTCCGTTGATCCGGAAGACATGACAAGACAAAGACAATGGTGTTTCCTTATTGTTTTTCGTTTAAATATGCATGTGGTCACTCTTGACTAAATTTGACGATGGAACAAAAGGATTAATTACAAAATTCGTACATATAAGTACACCTTTCTGTGCCTAAATTTAACTAAGTGTTATGCTTGTATCTTTTCTATCATTTCTATTGTTCATATAATACGTTGTGATGCGATATCGGGGCCTCATCGCGGCACATCACGGCCCCGACCGAGCGGCCTCGTGCTATGGAATGGGCACTAGACGTCTTACAAGAGACGCCGATTTTCGATAACGATACTCGGGTTTCGGGCGACGGCCGGCTTGCAGCTTATGGTAGAGGGCCGGATTCGATGGATCGCGATGGATTTGAGGAAGATCGGGTCGGAGGAAAAGTAGCAATCGACTTATTTCCTTAAAATCACAGGGTCCTTTGTTTCGATATTGGGTGGTCGAATCTTAAGCTGGGGCCAGGGTGCAAAGAGAACTTGACGAACTTTCACGAACTCCACTCGCAACTCGATTTAGCTTCGAGTTTAGATTCGATTTCGTCGAGTACGAAGGTTCCGAGGAAAAGCCGTCGACGTACGTCCTCAGTCACTATCAGAGACAAAAGAAGACCTCTCCTCTCGAGTTCAGCTAGAGGTTCTCGAAATTCGTAGGAGAACGCGGGGGAGAGCCAACCGTCGGTGTCGTTGGCCCTTGAAACGTACTATCGAAACGTTCGACACGGATCAAAACGTTTCTAGAGGGAGTTTCCAATATCCTCGTTAAAACATTTATATTTGTCTTATTACTGTGTATGTTTCAAATTCTGAGTTTAATTCATATTTTTTGACAGGTGCTGTTCAAAATAATGCTGGACAGTTTGCTGGACCACGCAAGTTCATCCAAATGATTTCTACTGCTACGAACATATTTGTGTAAAGTACATATTTGACTTCAATGTCCGAATAGTAAGCTGGTATCATTGACGGTCTTGATTTTCCTCCTATGTTGCTCGCCATTTACTTGTTTCCATTGAAACGTTCCATGGAAAAATTAATGAATTCGCCTCATCGAATCATCCTACAAAAAGCAAGAACCATGAGAAGCTGTAATAATTAAATTCATGTGCATATGTACGACAGAGCACTTACCTCACCCTGGACGGGGACAAATCACGATTTACAAAATAAGAATTCATTCTTATAATGCGTAATCCACGTATTTAGTTCCTTGTACGAAGACTACTATTTGCTAGCTAGACTACTAAATATAATCATTGCATTTTTCCATTTATTGGTACTGCTGAATTTAACAGTTATGCCAGCGTTACGATCAATGCCGTTAACTTTAACGGTTACAGTAGTGCAGAGCATTATGCTTAAATGGGTTTCTTTCTCGTGTTCTTTCCTCCGACATTGCTTACATTGTTGTGAATCACCGATGGCGGTGAAAATTAAATAACATTAATTGGATGATATTAACCATGAAACATCAAGCATCTTTTTGTCACTCATCACTCAGAGTTATCTGTAACAAAATGTTTCTCACAGCAAAAGGGATAAATTTTCTTACATATTGAATAAACTGTGTGGGTGTGTGAGACGGCTAAGGTGTCTAATCTAATTTCTCTGGGTTTATTCTACTTCCGCGGTTCGGGTGTCATGAGAAGGCGCTTGTTCGCGGGTCATGATAAGATGTTTGTTCGCGGACGCGGGATACGCTGTCGCTGAAATTCTTCGCTGTTTATATCGCGGCTTACGCGTACATCTAATCTGTTTCGAATTGCTGAGATTTCGCGCTCAGTTGTTCGGGAGGACTGAACAATCTTTTTCTATCTGGTTACCCGGAGATAGGCATGGAAATCGCGATAATGGTTAAGGTTTGCTTTGCTCGTAGATGGGGGAGATGAAATAAAGGTAACATAATAACGAAGGTGGTCCGAGTTTGCAAAAGGCTCTATATCTAGCTTATCAGCTGTCAAATTCGGTGAAGTCTCTCCTTTGATATACCCAGTCGGATGACTGCACGTGAATACCTTCAATCCGTGGCATGTCCTAGGGTTGGAGGTCTCCAAGAATCCTTCCGTCTAACGGAGATCTCTTCTTGGCTTGATGCACTTGGATAGCATGAGTGCCGAATAGCACTACTGCGGTTCGTGGTACAAGTGACCTTCCGAAAATCTCGATGGTTTCGGCCTTCGACTCGCTAAGAACTGAGAACCGAGAATCAGGAGTTCTATACTAGAGACTCAGGACTGACGGATAAAGGCGTCGCTAACTTACCGATTGCCAGTTTTGTTAGCAAATTTACGGAATGTTCCAATTGGTGAAGGGCGTTCTGATGCACTACGGAATCATCGGGATATTTTTGATCGATCGATGACTTCCGGAGTGTTGTATAATCATATAGAATATTGTCTCGATATTGAGATCTTTAGAAATGCGCTTATTTCATCGCGTGTACTTTTTACAAGGAAGGTGAAATAAAAAACGAGTAATAACGATCCCTCGGCGTAATACTAAATGGCCAAGTGTCGTCCGCTATTGTTGGGAGATTTTCCTCCTGTGTTGTCCGGCATTTTTCAGTTTCCATTGAGACGTTCATGTATTTGTCTCTTGAAATCATCCTACGAAAAAGCAAGGCTTATGGAAATCTGTTGAGAACAATTTACGTGCATATGTGTGATAGAGTACATACATACTGGCACGTTCAATTTTTTAACGTAGGATATGTGAATCAAAGAGTTTCTTCTGTAAAAACTAAATTTTATTCTGTGTGTTGTTAGAGCCATGCTACCCATGCAGCCGCCCACCACGATGGGCTTCGGTAAGGGCAGGCCGTAAGACCCGACGGTATGATAAACTTATCTTATCTTAAATAAATTATCCATCAACCGGTCGGTGGGTCGATAGCCACAATGTCTTCGATGCCTCATTCTAGGGTTGCGATGGATATTTTCTTGGTCCAAGGATTTCAGGAGGGCTGTCCGATGTCTGAAGTACCCTGTAAATAAATGATTAATTAATTATTTTATGTTTATTAGTATTTCATCGACTTGCCGTTTTTAAACATTTTCACGTATTGGGTTAGGGCGATACTACCGAGCTCGTCAACCATTTAAACGTGCTGGATTACAAAAAATGATTCGATTTAAATTTTTTAGGGTATAGCGAACAAAGGAAGAGGAAGCAGAAATAGCAAAGGCGGAGAAAGCGGAGGCAGAGGTGGATGCGGCCAAATCCATCTTCGGGGCGGAGGCAGATGGAGCCGGGGCCAAAAACCCCAAGTCTCCTTCGGGAGGAATCTCCAGGGGGAATACCGCACGAAGAGAACGGACCATCTCGTCGGTGAGCTTCGACATTTCGTTCCTCCGGTCTTCTCCTGCCACAGGACGACAGGTCCGAACTGGCACGGGGGTCAGTTGTATGTTACTCGATTTATCTGATTGATAACCGGATCGACGGGATGACCTTTCACCGACTCGTGAGTAGCTGCGCGGATTTTCTTTATTTTTTGTGTGTTAATTTAGACTAGGAATAGACTTCTCCCATGTCCACGGTAAATCATGGTTCGCGATACTTCATCGAACACCGAGAAGCCGGACGATTCCTCTTCGGGGCCACTGGGTTCACGGAGTTTCTTTGATTGATTTGAAAAAGATACGGTGGGGGTCTCACAAGGAGCCGGACCCGAGTCGAGGTGGCATTTCGATGTCTGCTTGCTGGTCGACTTAGAGCCGCCGCCTCGGCGGGGGGATCGGCTTCAGGGATTTCAGGATTTTGCGACCAAGCCTTCCACTACCCTGGGGCCGTAATGCGATAATAGTCGTCAAACAGAGTCGACACAGTGTCTTCTTTAACCAATCAGTTGTAGCGACCTCTTTTCAGAGCGGACGCATATGTGTGTCGCGAGAATCAAGCGATGACGGGTCGTAGTCGTCAAACACAGAGTAAGTGACGATATTAAAAGGATTAAAAAGATGGCTTTACTTTATAAAATGAACAATTTTCATATACTACATACATAATAAACGAAAAACTTGGGAAAAATCAAATATCTATAAACTGTACTGTACTTGGTACGATCCGCTGACTGATACACACTGATATACACTTTTTGGGGTTGAAACACCAAGATGATCGGGATAACCAAAGATTCAAAGTTGCTGCACTGCTTACGAGTTAGCTCTCAGGAAGCAGGAAGTTATAGAGCAGATTCGAGGAAAATGTTTCATGTGTGGGCTTGGTACAGTGGTCAGTCGTCGAACACAGCTGACTGTTTAAACCTATCTCGATCTGTGTAAACCCGAGCGATTCATCAGGGATGAAACGATATTCCATGTGGTCAGTACTAACGGCGATATCATCGTTGAATTGTTTTTAAATTTTTCAAGGATTGGTTATCCCGTTTAAGCCGACAGCTCTTGGTCCGATCGCGGAGGCACACAGGTGATTTGAGATGTCGAGGAGTTCTCCGTCTTGCCCTACCAAGGGAAAATTCATTAAAATCATTTTGATCCCCAATGCCTTGGGCCCTCCATATAAATAGAGGCGCCTCATGCCCTACAATGAATCTCGGAAAGGCCACGGTAGAAGCTTGAGTGTTGGCTTCTGGACAGAATCTCACCTGAGGGTGAAGAAGACGTACCTGCCCATCTGCCCACCGTCCGGTGCCCCTAACTCACCGCGTTAGAAGTTAGTCTTTAAACAGTTTATTCAACACGTCCGTCGGTTACATACACGGATACACGGATTCTATACTAACTCGGGACGCGTTCATAGCTTTCGGCAACGGTACCCGGGTATGGAATTAACAAAAATAATTGATTCTCGGACTCGATATCTTGGTATTTGGAGATAAAAAACATCTGATTACCGTAGTGTAACGTATGTAATAATAAGACAAAAAATCACTTCGCATCTCAACTCGTGGGAGGAACTCAACTTCCACGCTTGCACGCCGTGAGCCCTTGACCCATGCAGGCTGCATAAGCCATGAGATGAGGGATCCCATGTTGCTCCATCGTACCGGTGAAAAGATGGGACCAGGGTCCGCTCGCGAAGACGGCCACATCGTCGCCGCCATGAGTCTCCGAGGAACGCGGGGCCAGGCTCGGGTATTGATAATAAATACCACCTAAATGGGATAAAATGCATGAATTAGATAAGATATACTAAGGAAACTGAGATTAAGGGGATGTGAAAGTCACGTTTGAGGGGGCAAGTGTTCATGAAACTTTTCTCCGAATTGGGAGTACCGACTCGTTTCAAACTTTACAACGTGAATATGGAGATCCGAAGGTAAGTTCTGACACCCATGACATTTTATTTTTTGTAAAAAGAATTGAAAATATCTATAAACAAATTAAAAAAAAAATTGAAATTTCATAGGTGTCAGGACCTTCCTTATAGCATCTATATTCACGTTGTAAGTTGTTACGTAGTAAGTCGGGACGATTTCAATACATGGCGTTGTATCTCCTTATACTACTTCGTGCACAATATACTATCCTGACTCGTACCTAGATCGTCGTTTGTTATATTGTATCTGGAGCCATTTTGTCCGGCAGGTTTATAACCGGGACCGTTCGCATAGTTGAGGACGGCGTAAGGCAGGTCATCAACATCGCTGTCTTCGGCAATTCCCAGGATATCATTTCCTCTATCCGGGTACCCGGAAATGCTCATGGTATGAGCGTGATCGGCGGTCACAACGATCAGGGTGTCTTCTTCCGAGGTGAGTTTGCGAGCCAATTCGACTGCTTTCGACAATTCCACGGTCTCCGAAAGGGCTAAATTGGCGTAAGTGTCGTGATGTGCGTGATCGATCCGTCCACCTGGTGTAATAAAAATTGTAAAGGTGGGTTAAACAAATGAGTCAGTTGAAAATTGGTTGAATAATCTATCAGGGAGTACAAACATCGCGGATGTGCAATACATAAATTATATGGTACGCTGATACACAGAGAGATGAAAGTTATAATGTCCAAAAAGTGTACAAAAAGACAAAGTTTTAATTACACGTTTCCTTACCTTTTGTGCCCAAACGGATCTGTTACGAAACGGGTATCACCCACTGCGTACGTTTCCATCGTAATCTTAAATCCGGGATTTATCAGGTCCGGATCCAGTAAATCGCATGTTTCCGTCTCATTAATAAATACGCAGATTCGATCCTGAGCATCTAGATCGATACTTAAACTCGGATTTACTGGGGTTGGACTGGTTAAATCGTGGACTTAGGAGTACGATGGAGATGTAGTCCACTATAAATGCCTTATTCCATATTTAGCTTTCCTAAAAGCAATACGAACGCGAACAAGTAAAATATACCTTCTACGAAAAGAAAGTAGCCTTTGGAATCCTGCTGGAGAATCTTAATGGCGGCCTCGGTCATTTCCGCCAGGGTGGGGTCGCTAGGAGCCGCATCTTCGTAATAAGAGCAGTGACTTGACTCGAACAACCCCAACAAGTAGTCGACTTTTCCAGGATCGTCAGTCACCTTCCTCAGGGATTCCCGGTTCCAAACGTACTCGTAAGTAGCGTTGCGAGCGACTTTGTCCTGACGCCAGGCCTTTATAAGGTTCACCCCGTCCAACCTTCTACCAGCAGCGCCCTCATCGTCGACGGTGGTGGCCGGAAGGAACTCACGGCGTCCTCCTCCCAAAATCACCTTGAAATCCTTTCCCGGGGATTCCTTGACGAGCTGTGTCGCGATGTCGATGCATTTGCGCGGGTCCTGGTTCTCCTCGACGACCTTGAAGCAGAGAAAACCCGCTCTAAATAATTGCGAACATTTCCTGGATACTTTCATTCCGGTACAATGACCCCTTCTCCATTGTACTCCTAAATCCGGGATTTATCGGGGCTGAATCCAATAAATCGCGTCTCCATCGCATTAATAAATACGCAGATTCGATCCTTCCTGAGCGTCACGATCGACACTTAAATTCGGATTTACTGAGTTTGGACTCGATAAATCCCTGATTTAGGAGGACGATAGAGACATAGCCAATACTTACTATTGGTGAAAAGTACAAATTGTAAACGTCATATGAAGATATCTTTCTACTTATGTTTTGTATTTACTCGGACAGTAAACCGATTAATGACAAAAATGTGATTCGTATATATATAGTACATTTACCCATTCTGCTTTTCACTGATTTTATAACTGGTTTATACGCGGTTTAAACCTACCGTTAAACTCCGGTTAACACAATTTGGAAGCGGGCCCTAAAAGTCATATCAGCGGCGTTTACACAACATTTAACAGCAGTAGTTATAAAATTGGTGTAAGTTAACGTTTAAATGCACTCAAAGAAGTACGTTCGAGATTTAAATTTTAGAAAGGCGTAGTTTTATCAAGCAGTCACTGTAAACAATAGTGTACCAAGCAGTACACGATCGTATACATCGACAGCTTGATAAATCCACGCCTTCGGTACGCGTACCAAGTGATCGGTGTAAACTAAGCCTGTATTAACAAATCCATATCGTCCGTGGGAGACAGGTTTGGTTTGTAAGTTTGTGGGTTTTATTGGTATGAACACGGTTTTTTTTTTATTTCGAGTAAGTATCGTAACTTCTTTCAATGCAAGTAGTAGGTTTGTGGTGGTATCGGTTTGGCCTTACCTTGAAGTCGCTCTCCCAGTCGCGATTCGCGACACGAGCGAAAGTCCCAGCCGGAGAAGCGTGAGTCACTCTAGTAGTTGTTACTATACCCGTGGCCTTGCCTGCCGTCTGCGCCCATTGGCTAATGGAGGTCACGTGGTTCCGCTTGTCCAGCTGACCTGCGCAGTCGCCGCGCGGCACTTTTGCGTTTACACCGATGGTCCCGTAGTTACTCTTGACGCCACACAGATACGCAGTGGCGCTGCAGGCCGAGTCCGCGATTATGGAATCCACGCAGTATGTCTGTCGGAAAGAATTCGGAAATCCTCGGTAACATAAAATTGGAGAAGGTAACTGTAAAACGTATCGTAAGTTACCGAGAACGTTGAGAATTTATAAGAACGTTCATTTTTGTATTTAAATTGTTGCTTTCTTAGTTAAAATAACATTTCTTTTCGATGCCCTACAAAGTTCAAGCTAAAGAGTAATAAATACTGTTACAGAGTCTTTCACGTACAACTTCACGAGAAATTCCACGCAATTTGTTTCAAAACGAACCGATATTTCATTCTGGTGTCGCGCGACGAAGCGAATAGGAAGGTTTCGATTGGCTGCGGAAAACGTACAACGGAAATTCCCCACTTCGATGCCTCTCTATAGCTAATCGGAACCTCTCGCCCGCTCCGTCGTAAAAATATAAATTCTCCTTATTTCTCGAAAAAAAAAAAACCTTGGAGAAATTTCCAATAAGTTTCCAGGAATTTCTCATCGTTCCTGACGTAACTTACCGCGTTTAGAACTCTAGTTTCACTTCACCTTAACCAACCCGGTATAGGAAAATTTCTCCCAGAAGAGGGAGCCCTCGTTGCGTCCCTCTAGCTGGCCTTGATAAGTCCTCGCGGCCGTTAACGTAGGGATCGACATGCCATCGCCGATAAAAAGAATTACATTCTTCGCAATCTTCGTGTTTTGACGCCACGACAAATGCTCCTTTACAATTGCTTGAGCACTATTCAACCAGTGCGCGGTTTCTGAAAATCGAAAACGGGCTTTCATAAGGTGATATGAAAGTGGCGTCTCGTTTATGAAACTTTCCTCCGAACTGAGTATATCAAATCATTTGAAATTTTACCTTGAGAATATGTCGGCCGTCCCGACTCCCGACTTCCACGAAATTTAAGTTTTTTCATTTGTGTATAAAAATTTTAGTACAAAAAATGAAATTTTATGAGTCTCAGGACATTCCATAAAACTTCCACATTTGTATGGGCAAAGTTCAAATAAACTGCTACACCCAGTTTGAAGAATAGTTGAAGCCAAGACTTCATTTTAAACGTCAATAATACACTAAGAGAAGGACGCACTAGCATACATAGATTAATAATTAACCGTAAAAATATATAATGTTACTTTACATTACTAATGCATAAGAGGTGTCGTTTAAACAAAAAATGGAAAAGGACCAACGAGCCATGTTAAAGTTATAGACAGATCGGTCTAGTACCCTTAATAAAAAATGTTTTATTTGAATTGACCGATTCGAGTGGGTTTCATTTCATCTTAAGACAGTAGGATATTCTTCGCTAGTTACCTTTCTCCTCTTCGGTCTCCTTAAATGCTTCCCAAGTACGTTTAATCGAGTAACTCTTTCCTTTATGGGGTAATTTCGAGTGCATCACCTCGTCGGCCAAATCATCTGTAATCATCCATAATTTTACCAGTATTAGAAATATGAGTTTTCGAGACCGCGGAAACTATTCGGAAACTAAAATAAACGCGAAACGAACGGAAATAGACGTTTCGTTAATTGACGCTGATCGACGCAAGACCGGTGATAAGGTAAATCCCTGGGATCGCCAGAGCCGATCAAATTGATCAGCTGCGATCTCGTTTCCGATGTTCGACAGTGATTTACCGGCATATATATAAAATTGACAGGTAACGAGACGATCGCCCGATAAGATTGCGATACGAGTTACATTTTTGAGGTACTATCTCTTGTCCAAACGTGTGGCACGTGTTTCCGGCGTTGATCGCGTGAGAAGTTTCCAGCGAGGAGCTAAAGTTATTCACTTGGAAATCAGTGAAAACGATTTCCTTCTTTGAGAGCCGATTGCGTTTGATTTCACACGATAGACAATGCGATTCGGTAATAAGTGACAGTCGGCCTTAAGATGATATGAAAGGGTCATTCTATATATATAAAACGTCAAAATATTTATGAAACATTTTTCCACCTCGGGTGCACCAAATCGTTTGAAACTTCAACACGTGATTATGGAGGTTTTAAGGAAGAACTTAGCGCTAATGAAATTTCATTAGTACTACGTTCTTCCTTAGGCCTCCATAATCATACGTTTATATGTATAGAATGACCCGTTCGTGTCACCTTAAAATTGCGACAGGGTTCAGTGATTTTAAACAATTTCCAGCTGATTTCCACATGACTTCGAGCGTTAAAATTCATAATTTTCTGAGTGAATAACCCTTCGGTATTTATGATAATACCCTCCTCTTTGAATTTACACGAGTCTCCGTTTTACGCGGAAAATTATAACGCACTTCACGCGGTTTTTAAACGTCATTATTTTATTCCGTTAAGCTACTTGAAATAAATATGTATTTCTGAAACTTATATGTCCTAGCTTTTATTTCCAATATTTTTTCTTTCGTCTCGACAGACTTTATTTACGCGATTTTCAATCGCATAAAATGAATCCACGTGGTACGGACAACTCCGCGTAAATCGAGGGACGACTGTTTGTTCAAATTTCGTGACTTAGTTTACATAGGAATTAATTCCTACCTCTGCGTCTTCTTTCTTCCGGAGATGTACTTTTATGGGAATTGGGGGGGAATGCGAGGGCAACGGAGACGAACAGAAGGAGAAACGCGAAAATCACCATCGAAGCCATGATCCTATTTTCCGAATGTTCGAAGCCTGCTTTGATCGTTCAACGACTGCACGTGATCGACCATGGATGAGCCATTAAATAGCATCGAACGAGGCCTGAATCTCTCCTCGATAATCGGCGACAGATAATTTTCGTTGATCGATCGGCATCCATCGCGGTAATCGTTATCATCGGCGATTCGAAGTCGCTCAGAATGGAACAATGGCCGCCTAGACGCGTGGCGAAAAGTCCCTTTGATAGAAAAGAGTATAATTGCACCAGGAAAAAAATACAGAGGCGATAACGCACGATATGGCCAATTATCTTTATGTATTTCCCCTCGTAGTACTTGAAACAGATGCGACGTTACCGTTTTACCGGAGTTTAGTTAAAGATCCGTTGAAGGCAAGTCGGCCATATTGGATTGTGTGGGTAAACGCAACGAAATCCCGTGAAATTCTTGACGAGATTTTAATACTCCGCGAAATTAATGATGTTCGTCATCGTTAATATATGGACAATTTTCATAAAAATCTTTTTGAACGAAATAAAGGGTGGAATTAGGAAAAGGACATTTAGAAATCGAAAACTTAGTCGGCCATATGCGATGGTTAGACGCGATAAACTGACAAAAAATTCTGGGCGAGTATTTCACGAAATTAATGACGTTTGCCGTTAATTACGACAAAACAATTTATCGTTAATTGATAGACAATTTTCTTAGAATTTCTTTGAAATTAAACAAAGTGTAGAACTGTTAAATAATAGTTAAACAACAGTTTTCTAGTTTCTCTATTAGTGAAAATTCATTCAAAAGAACATTTACATGATTTATGTTTTAGAATGTGAACCGAAGGGTGCAGATTTTGACGATTAAAATATTATCTGAGATTACCGGAGAGTGATTAAACCTTTATCTTGTAAGTTAACGTTCAACAAATGTGATGTGAATCGGTACTATCTGTTTACTTTTAAGTGCAAGTGCAGTTCTCTTATCTAATCTACTTAATGTGGTTTGAAAGCAACGTATCACATCTGTATGAGATGACAGATTCAATGTTCCGTAAGCACGGACTCGGAAATAAAGGAATGGAGCATCAAATTAAATTTGATGCAAAGGCGCAAGGTCTTCGAGAATAAATTTAGTTGCCGCTGATTTCTCAGATGGCGCAGGGTGCCACTCTGCAGTCAATTAGGGCATCAAAGACCACGTATCCAGGGGATTTCTGGATTTTACTTCGATCTCTTTATAATTATTATAAGAAAACGACATATGGAGTTTGTCGTTTAGTACAATACCCAATATAATTCGACACGGATGTCGATATAAATACGAACGTTGGGAACGTAGGCATTTAAAAAAATTTTTTTTACCGACGTCGATCAAATTTCTCAACGCGTTTCACTTCACGTTAGTATCTATTTTTATGGCGCACTATTAGCTAGTAACGTCACATGATTCGCAACCCATTAATGATAGAGAGATTTTGTACATACAAATCTTGTTTTATTGCGCTTTACATATGAAAAAAAGGCCCGCTAGTGTTCACTAAACGGTAGTTCACGCATAGTTATCAAAAGTGGGACCGAGTCAATGAATCCAGATCCATCATTTTAAATTACGTAAAATGATTTGTCACTTGTCCGAATAATCAAGGTCTTTCGAACTGACGGATCTGACGTCATTGAGCTTAATTGCAAACATTTCAGCTTCGCTGTTAATTCACGCGTTGTTATCAAAAGTGGTGTCAATGATTTCAGGTTCATCGCATTGAAAATCTTTGAGTCAAATGATTGGTCATTTTCGATAAAATGATTCAACTTCTATTGTTAACAATTAATATTTAAGGCCTTTCAGAATAGCTAATTTGATAGTGACCGCGTGAACTCGTCGTTGATAGTTTATGCATAGTTATACAAAAGAAAATACAGTTGAATCAGTAATTCCACATTCATGGTCTTGAAAATTTTCAACCCTATAATCACTTTCGATAGAATAATTAATAACATACCATTTTTAGTCAATAACGATGAACTATTTGACTCGAAGTCTTTCAAAATGGCGGACCTGACGCCAGTAGGGTAATGTACGAAAACATCCATTTACGGTAATTTATACACTGTTATCAAAAGGCTAAGGCCTAGTTCGTACAAACTCGCTGCTGTCAAAACTAGGCTTAGATCTATGATTCCAGATTCGCCATTTTGAAAACTCCCTATGCCAAACAGTTGATCACTTTTGGTGAAACGGTAAGAGCCTTTCAAGATGGCGAATCTGACGCCACTAATCCGAGGTACGAGTACATCAAATTATGGTAATTAACGCAACGTAATTAAAAGAAAGGAGTCGAGGCAACGTCTCCAAATCCGTCATTTTCTAAAATGATTAATTACTATTGATAGAATAACCGAAGCTTTTCAAAATGGCGGATTTGACGCCACTTTGTCGAGATGCGACTCCGTTACAGCTCGGCGCTGGTAACTCGAGTTCAAAAGAGAGACTTCGGAAGAGAGAAGAGACGTTGAGAAAAATGGCGCGCCCTTTCTTGATCGTCGCGATCTTCTAGGTAATCTCATTATCTATTTACAATTGGCCGATCGCAGGGAGGACATCGAGATTCCCGCCACGGCAACGCCGGCCTTCGCCTACGGTAATATTAGATATACACATTTATATATATAATATATATTTATATTCATTCATCTATATATATATAATATACTATATATGATATTTTGTAACTTTCAGAGACGTGTAAAACGTGGAGATTCCTTAAGTCTAAGGCGATCGAGACGCGTCAGGTTACACTGGGAAGTGGATGCTACTATGCCGCGAGCCTGCTCATCGGCCGGAAAATACTGCACGGTGCACTGAAACATAAATTTGTACATTCAAAACTAATTCGACACCACCCAGTCGTCTGAAAAGGTCATTCTATATATATAAATCGTCAAAATGTTTATAAAACTTTTCTCCGAACTGGGTGTACCGAATCATTTCAAACTTTATAATGTGAATATGGAGGCTACAAGGAAGGTCCTAATACTCATGAAGTTTCATTGTTTATAACAAATTAAAAAAAAAAAATGAAATGTCACGAGCATCGCTTTCTTTCTTAGGGCTTCCATAATCACGTGTTAAAGTTTCAGATAATTCGGTGCACCCAGTTTGGAGAAGTTTTATAAATATCTTTACATTTTTATATGTATGAAATGGTCCTTTCACGTCACCTTAAACCCGATGAAGGAACGAAACGCGGGGATACTCACCGTTATTGCGTATTGACAGAAAGCGGTGACTAGGAAACGTCGAGAGTCCGCGGACGGCGGCTCGAGGTCGACGGCAATGGGCGCGTTCGCCGCGGCGAGGTGGCGAGTTCGCGAGGTCGCGAGGTCGCGGCGCCGCGACGAACCCACGCTCGTTAGCGGACGCGCCGCCGGAAGCCCTGCGGCGCGGCGACGTCCCAGACGGCGCGGCAGCGCGTCGACTTCCGCCAGTGCGCCAGCTGGATGCCGAGCCGCTGGCACTCGTGCACGTAGGCCGTGAAGGACTCGCAGTAGCAGTTCTCCGTTGGGCACTCGCACATGTCCTGCAGACACGCCTTGTAGTACATCGTCGGGTTCACCTTCTTGTGGCACGGGTCGAACACCTGCGACCGCAGTCGATTGCAGAGCCTGGAAGGATCAGTTGCGGGAGAATTCTTCGACTTCGTTTCTTAGACCATATACGGGGTGGCCCGCAATAGATAATTAATCTTTCAAGGGGTGAAGGAGGGAGGAATTTTTAGCCAAAAGTTCCTTTTCCAATTTTGGCTCGGATCACTATTCGTCGAATTATTAGCAAATAAAGTTCACCAACGAAACGACGCGCAGGGGCCTCTCGCTCGTGCATTACGTTCCTTTAAAAAGTTTCATTTTAACATATCAAATTGTTCAACAAATGAATGAATAAATAAATAAATAAATAAATAAGAATATATACAGTTAGAAATTGATCAAATTATGAATTTAAAAATCATTATTTAAGGGGATGTGAAAGTGGCATCCGTAAGCTCAATTGTTTCAAACTTTACAACGTGAACATGGAGGATATAAGAAAGGTCCTGAAACTCATGAAATTTCGTTTTTATAACAAATTTTAAAAGTATCTATAAACAAATAAAAAAACATTGAAATTTCATGAATTTCAGGACCTTCCTTATACCCTCCATATTTATATTGTAAAGTTTAAATCAATTCGGTACACTCAATTCGGAGAAAAGTTTCATGAATGATTCCTCTTTGACGTCACTTTCGAATCCACTTAACTACATAGTAAATCAATCAATTACCGACTGACCTATTAATTGTCCAATTAATTCATTCATTCGGGCGCAATTCTTAGATCATAATGAGTCACGTCAAAGTTTCGGACAGTTCTCTCCAATACCCTTAAAAAAAGTGTCCTAATCAAGTCGACTGGTTTGAGGGGGGTTTCGTGTCACTTTAATTGCTAATAAGTCGATGAAAAGAGTTCTGAGCCAAAAATGAAAAAGGAACTTCCAGGTCAAAATTCCACCCCCTGTCCCCCTCGAAAGGTGAATAATCTATTATGGGACACCCTGCATATCTCCAGACTTTTTCCGAGCACCTGTGGTTTTTCTTGCTCCGACATCGCCTCTCCCTGTCGACGCCGATCGTCCGGGAGCGGGCGGCGCACATCTTCTTGCCCCCCACGGTCCAGGACTGGCCGAAGAGCTGAGGGTCCTGGACGAGTCTCCCTCGGCGGGTGGTCAGGTCGTCCTTTGGCAAGGAGTTGAAATTCCCGCAGAGTCCGCAGAGGCGGCCGCGATAGGAAGTCGGCGCCGAGATCTCGAGGAAGCTGATGCCGTCCCAGAGGATCTTGATGCCGATCTGCGTGCTCACCAGGATGCTGTCGACGGTCCGATTGATGTCGAGCCTACTCGGTATTCTGTACGGCACCTCCACCTTCTTGCCGTTCACCTTAACGCGCATTCTTTGGCCTAGATTCACCTTCAGATCGCCGACCTGCAATCCGATCGATCACTTTCAAGTTCACGACAAGATACGTGCCTCCTCAAGGTCTCCTGTCCCGCGGAGAAAAGTGTTTACATTTTTTTCCGGACTGAAGTAGTTTCCAAAGTAATGGTATTAAGGGGATACGAAAGGCGCTAAGAAATTTAATCGACGTCGATAAAATAAAATTCATCTGCACCCTTTTTGGTGGGAATATATTCCATTTTTTTAGGATTCCAAATTGTTCGAGCTAGGTCCGGAAACTCTTCATTTTCGATTTTAAGCCTTCAAGAGGCGTAAAACATCGAAAACGTGCACGACCGCGCCATGTTGGTTCTAGTCCATGACAAATAAAGACACTTTTTATAAAAAATGAAATTTCATGAGGGTCAGGACCTACCCTAGGGCTTCCTTATTCCCGTGGTAAAATTTGAACCCAATTCAGAGAATACTTTCACGAACGATTTGACTTCTCGGATACATATGTATAGGTCGACCCTTTCGTCCTACCTTAAGGGCTATCGTCTTGGTCCAAGCCGACGATCTGGTGGACCTCGCATCGTTGGTCACTCTGATGCTGAACGTATGCCCCAAGCAATCGCTGACCAACTGGTACTTGCACGGGCCCTTAAAGCTGAAGAACTTTCCGTCGAAGGTCCTATAATGTGGGTCACCGAAAACAGTGCAGACGCCATCACCTAAAAAGACATAAAAGTTCCAACGATAGTCCAGTTTATCTCCATTCTCCTCTAACCGTTGTGGGAAATATCTCGTTACGTCATTGACACGGACTTCCAAGAACTAGTGGTAGGCGAAATCCTTATCACGTTTTTCTCCAATCTTTGGATTAGTTTGACGTAATTCCTTGCGCTGACCTTTTCCTTTCCCCGTAACCGACGCTAAGAATATGCACCATAATTTGTGCTATCTACCCTCCGTTTTGTTATTCGTTTTTCAAAACCTAATGAAAAGTGGCCGATTTCCGATTCTTGAGACCAGAACGGGCGGAACGTCTCTTGCGCATGCGCACTTCGGGTATGGCGATTTTCTTGCCTAGGACTTTTCCATTTTCATTTTTATTCCCTCCTTGTTTTTTTTTTTTTTTACTTATTTCACCTACCTACTCGCACGTATCTTCTACAACCGAAATGGGTCCCGTCGACGAAATTCGACAAAGTTCAGATTTGTCAAAATGTTATCGAGTTAATGACTGAATATTTCAAAATCGTCCGTCTACAACTGCAAATGAAAACGAGAAACAAGAAGGAGTCGGCGCGGTGTCGCGTTCGGTGGCGGTTGTCGAATCGAAAGGGTTAACGTAAGGTAACGTAATTAAAAAGGCGGATAATTATCCCTCAACCGAATATACATCGCATTGCCGATTAGGCGTTTCAGGGTCGAGCAGGACGTTTCACTTAGCACTTAGAGAATCTAGCACTCACTTTCCACGCAACGAGGACAACATTGTCCTTCGGGATGTTCCAGCCTCGAGTTAGGCGGACATGGCAGGTTCAGAGGTGGACACATCGGCATTGCACAGCGCACTTTGCCTTGCATGCAAGCGCATGCCTTGCAAGGGTCAAGCTTCCAAGATTCGCCATCCTGCCTAGGAGAAATTAGGACGTTTAAACCAGAACACTTTTACGGTCCCCGATCACATTTTACTTCTTAAGGTGATATGAAAGTGCCATCCGAGGGGTCAATCGTTTACACGACATTTCTCCTAATGAGGCGTACCGACTCGTTTTAAATGTTCCCGCGTGAAAATGGAATCCCTAAGATCCCGACCCTAATTCATGTTTTATAAAAAGTAAAAAAGCGGTTTTTAAATTGATTATAAAGAATGAAATTTCATGGGGGTCGAGACCTTCTTTAAGGCCTTTCAATTTTAAGAAAATTTGTTAATAGATATTTTCAAAATTTTGTATGCAAAATGAAATTTACCGAGTTTCAAAACCTATCTTAGGGTCTCCATATTCGCGTTGTAAAGTTTGAAACGATTCGGTACACCCGGTTCGTAGAACAGTTTCATGAACGATTGACCGGTCGGATGTCACTTTCACGTCCCCTTAACGTCTAGTTACAATACTCGCCCCGTAAGTTCTTCCCCCGTAGGTGCAGGAGGCTCGACTCTCCTCGATGAGTGGACACTGAGGACAGCATCGACCGGGAAGAGTCGTCTGGTGTTCGCTCGTGCATTCCAACACCGGACAGGTCTCTTTCGTGCAGGTGATCACGGAGTTCGTGCAGCTGCACCTGGTGCACTCGTCCAGGTAGAACTGCGTGCCGGAGTTGTAGACCGTCGTGCCCAGCATGCAGGCGCCTTTCGGTGGAGACAGGAACCTCCCGCTTCCTGGGAATCGAGATAAGACATTGAATACTTCAAATGTCAAAGCAACGCGAAGATCGATCTCTAACCCTTTATGGTGATATGAAAGGGTCATTCGATATACGTGTCCAAAACCCAAAACGACTAAAGCGAATATGGCCAGGTGACCCGAAAGGTCACTAGGAGTCAACCCTCACTGTGGAAGAACGTCGATGGATGAACTTCTCCCCACTCCATCTAACGACATCGCATTAGCTCGTAGATCCGTTAATAGAAAGTTCTGATTGTTAATAAACAAATTTAAAAAATTCGATATATATAAAATGTAAAAATATTTATAAAACTTTTCTCCACTCTGGGTGTACCGAATCATTTGAACCTTCAGCACGTGATTACATTAGAACCATGTTACATTTTTGAAAAAAATGCAATTTTATGAGCATCGCGTTCTTGGTTAGGGTCTCCATAATCACGTGCTGAAGTATCAAATGATTCGTTGCATCCAGTTTGGAGAAAAGTACTATAAATATTTTAGCCTTTTACATACATAGAATGACCCTCTCATATCACCTTAAATTTAATCATCCTTAGATTGAACGAAGTCTTATTTTTAAAATGCATCTTATATCGGAAGAATTCTAAGTAACGAAAGATTTCTAGTTTCCGATCCCTCTTTTAATATGTGCAAAATTTATGGTTATAACGGTACCGATGACTATTGACCGATCAATCGATAAAAATCCCTGCACAGCACTTATGAAGCAATATTTCTTCCCGATTCCAGTGACGCAAAACTTTCTCCAGTGATTGTTCGAGTATCCGCGGGTGATAATCATAAGTGGACGATCATTTGCAATTTGCATCAGTTGAAATCCGCAGACGATCGGTAGGTTTCCACTCGTTTAAATTTAGCTTGGAGTAAAGCATTTATCTGTGACCCAGAGCTTGTTAAACTATCACCGACAGTGGTAATCGGCTTATCCCAACGCTGACCGATGGTCGCAACGAGGAAAGGATCTAATAGCCAATACGGAGTGTTCTAGAATAATTATTTCCAACACCGAGATGTGAATGGAGAGCATACGATTAAACACTTTTTCGTAATAAAGTAGTGCTCGGAAATACCTCCATATCGAGACGATACGATATGACAAAAATGAACTTATCGTTCCCACGGAAATAATCGCTGTTAAGGTGAAGTGTCGAGAAACTTGATCGACGTCGGTAAAAAGTATTCTTCTAAACACCTACGTTACCGACGTTCGTATTTATATCGACAGCTTTTCGGAATTATGTTGGGTATCGTACTAAACGGCATGCTCCATATATCGTTTTCTTACAATAATTATAACGAGATCGAAGTAAAACTTCAGAAATCCCCTGGATTCATTGTTTTTTATGCCCTCACTGACTGCAGAGTGCCACCCCGCGCCATCTGTGATTTTAGCGTCAATTAAATTTTCTCTCCGAGACCTCGTTTTAGCACTTTTTCTCTCAGGGCGATACATGGCGTCGATATTGCTCGTTAAAAGAGCTCGTACCTTTGCAGTGCGGACAACACTCTCCAGGCTCGCGGATGATCCTCGAGGCAGGACAATGGAGGACAGGACACGCCTGCTTGGCGCAAGTCAGACGCCCCATGTTGCACCTGCACGTGACGCAAGGATCCTCCGTCGTGGTGACGGTCCGTTCCGCCGTCACCTTCTGTCCGTTCACGTAACACCCTGACCAAGAGAACGCAACGATGAGTCGGAGGCCTGGAGAACTCGGTTACGCGTGTCCCGAATGCATCGCCTGCGTGACGTTTCTTATCGCCGATCGCTATGGTCGCTCGCCGTAAAACCATTTTCACGTTCCACCAGGCTCGCCGTGAAACGGTCCCCAGGACGCGGATTTTGGGGTTTACGGACCACCGGGGTTGCACGTCGTCAAACGATTTTCCTACACGGTAGGCTCTCGTATAACGTGGTTAAGGGGATGCGAAAGTGGCATCCGAGGGTCGATCGTTCGTGGGACTTTTTGCTGAATTGGGTGTATCGTTTCACATTGTACAACATGAATACGGAGTCTATAAGGAAGGTCCCGACCCTCGTGAAATTTCATTTTTTATACAAAATTAAACAAATACCTACAAACAAATTGTTAAAAAATTGAAATTTCACGAGTTTCAGGATTTTCCTTACAGCCTCCGCATCCACGTTGTAAAGTTTGAAACGATTTAGCATCCCCAGCTCGGGGAAAAGTTTCACAAAGGATTGATCCCTCGGATGGCACATTCGCGTCGCCTTGACGTTGTCGTTATCGTCATAGTCGTGCACGGACAAAAAGTAGCCGTGAAATAGGTAACACGAGGTACCTACCTGTACAAGTCGGACAACACTGGCCGGGAGGTGCAGGAATCGGGTTGGAGCAAGGGGTGTAGCATCGAAGCCTCGACTCCGTTATCACCCCCGCCTTGCAGGTCATTATCCGGCAAGGGTCATTGGCATCGGTCCACTCCGTCTCCGAGGCGTGATGGACTCCGTTCTTGACGCAGCCTGGGCGACACCAAAACGAGTACGCGTTACTTTCGGCTTCCCCGATATGGCGGATATGGCGGATATGGCGGATATGGCGGATATGGCGGATATGGCGAATATGGCGAATATGGCGAATATGGCGGATATGGCGAATATGGCGGATATGGCGAATATGGCGAACATGGCGAATATGGCGAACATGGCGAATATGGCGGCCATCCAAAGCGGACAGGACGCCTCGTCGCCGCGGTCTCCTAGTCGGATCAACGTTTGGCCCACGTATGTCCTGGATTCGTGAATCCGATCCCGAAGACGGCGGATTTAAAAAGAGACAGAGAACGGAGGGGCTATTCCCGTTCTCACTCTTTCTCACTTGCCGTTGGAGCGATGTGAAATTAAAATATTACATTTTAATTCTAATCGATATTTCATTTCATTTCAATTATGGTTCAAGCACGAATCAATTTCAAATTAGCAACATATTGGGTAATCGAATATCATCCGGTTACATAGTTTAAGAATGATTAGTAATTAAACGCGTAATTGAATTTTCAGAAAAATTAATGCCGTCCACCTCGGGTTCGATCTTTCCTGTCCAGATAAAAGAGAGACAAAGCCCTCCATTACCTCTGTTTTAGTTCTGCTCGAGGGAGTATTCGCTGTACAGAAAACCCTATCGCCTGGGAAATCATTCGTTCAATTTTTCAATCAATTTCAATTTTGTTAACAATTTGTTTATAGATAGTCACATTTTCTTTTATATAAAGAATGAAATTTCGTGGGTGTCAAGACCTTCCTTATAGCCTCTACATTCCCATTATCAAGTATAAAACGATTCGGTACGCCGAGTTTGGAGAAAAGTTTCATGAACGATTGTCACTTTCACACGTCCTTAAGCTCGCAGGTGGAAATCAGGATCAGAAATGACTGGAAATCGCTGGCAACCGTCGAAACGCCGTCACAATTATTAGGCCGACTGTCCCTTGTTACCGAATCGCATCGTTTATCGCGTGAAGTCAAAGGCAATCGAATCTAAAGAAGGAATTCTTTTTCCCTGATTTCCGAGTGAATAGCTCCTCTCGATTTTGCTTTCGTGGTCGGGTCAGCGTGGGGTCTCCATATATCCTACGTTCACGGGGGCAGCCGACTCATTGTTTCTCCAGAAAATGGAGAACAATGCGACTAGGCGCAGCCGCGTGGGGGGCAGATTGTAAAACGCCAACTAGATTTTGTACCTTTGCACCTGTGGCAGCACTCGTCGTTTCTCGGCTCCAACAGGGTGTAGCAGCCTTCTATGCTGGGGCATTGTTGTTTCAGGCACTCCACGAATCCATTCTGTCGATGAGACCAATTCTGAATTAGACGAGCTTAGAAGGAGCGAAACGGTCAACGCGGTTACGTTAAGGTTAAGGGAAACGGGTCGAAAAATTTCATCGACGTCGGTAAAAAGGATTCTTCCAAATACCTTCGTTACCGACATTGGTATTTGTATCGACAGCGTATTGGAATTATATTGGGTATTTTATTAACTGGCATACTCCATATGTCGTTTTCAATAATTAAAAAGAAATCGAAGCAAAACTCCAGAAATCCTATGGATTCGTGGCTTTTTATGCTTCAGTTGACCGTAGAGGACCACCCTGCGAAATCTGTGCTTTTGATGGAAATTATTGCGTCTAATTCAAGTAATCACCGAATCCGATGACGATGACATAATTCTTATCACTAGTCATTTCCATAACAGCGCAGTTATTGCATCTGTAAAATGACTGATTCCAGCAATGAATTCCTCACCATTAATCCGATTTTTTTCGTGAATTCTAACAATTTATTTCGGCTAATTGCTAAGCTTAACGGTGAAATTATCTCTTCTTCGCACGATATTATTATTTCTAGTACTGAAATTGCGGTTACCATTAGTAACCAACCTTTCGAAGCACGTAAGTTGGCATAATTAGACTAATTGCTAAATCCATCAGCGATGGAACAATCGGGTCGGCTAGTGGTAATTATTTCAACGGACCAACAGCCCTCTACATGAAAGGTACGAGCAATATTTCGTAACGCAATGATAACAGCGTTGCTTAATCAGCACCGCAGTAATAACTAGTTCTTGTCCCTATCTGGTATGAGAATTACCGTTCGCGAAGGATGTTGTAACAGTGTAGGCGCGTTTGAATCTACCGATTAGTAAGACCAGCGTCAATTATTTCGCAGAGATCTTATTCCGTGTATTGTTGTTTCGCTCTCCATGTTTCCTTTATTGCTCTGCCAATTAATTTAATATGTAGCATTACCTCGATCCGCGTAATTGAATTAATACTTCCACCGATGATAGCGAATTATGTTTATTGCCACAAATGCTATGTTACTAATAAAATACTCCTGATTTGTAAGAAAAGTGGCTTTACAGACGATGCGATGATAATGACGGTAAATTGTGGGATGTATTGCAATTAGTTTGCGACGATTATGGAACACAAATTATTCAAAAGAAAACACGTAACAACTATTTCCGATGATACGACTGTTTACGTAAAAGGTTCATTTGTAAGCAAATTATTTAAGGATGGAAATGGGACAATTAGTATCGTTATTCCCCCTCACTTTTGCTGTAAATGGTTAATACGTTCACTAAATCATTTAGGAGGATCTACGCTGAAAAAACATTCGTTGAACCAAAGAAATACTTTGTTCATTCGAGCAATAATTATTTGACTCAATTATCCCGTTCAAATGCGAGTTTATCGGATTACCAGTGTTCTAAATTCTCGTAAAATTGCCCTGACACATTCGTTTCTCGTATCAGAGCCTTTAATAATTGTACATCGATCGAAATATGAGAGCTCCACGCCATTTTGGTTCTGGTCTGGCCTAAGTTAAAAAATTGTTTCCGAAAATCCAAATTTTAAAGTGTCAGGACAATTCTTGGACGAACAGGAGTCAAAGTTTCGGACAGTTTGGTCCAATACCCTTAAAAAAAAAGTGTTTCATTCGAATCGACTAATTTAAAGGGGGTTTCACGTCACTTTAAGGTCCCAATTTTTACGAGGCAAAGTTTCAAACGATTCGGTGCACCCTGTTCGGAAAGGGTTTTCCAAATAATTTGACTTCGGAGGCCACTTCCGTATCACCTTAATCTGCAAGCTGCAGTCGAAAGCGTCGGGTGCAGTCTCGTAACGAGATAGACTTCTCGGGCTTACATTACTTTAGTTGTGTCTACAATGCGCGCATTGTAAACTTTCGCCGCTGTATCTCGAGTGCGAGTGGCCGTCGATAAAGGGTTATTATGTTCTCTGTAAAATTAGAAACCATGTCATCGAGTGGACGGAGTCCCCGAGTCTGACCTCAATTCCGGATCGATCGAATCGATTGTAAAATGATGAATTGCTCGACTCGTGCTCTCGCGGAAGACGCGGCTTCTCAGATGTCGATAGATGTGTCAGCTGCCTCCAGTGGCATGTAAACAGATTTCATGAAAAATGTCGAAAATTGCGGCCGCCAACAAGAGGATGTGGGATATCGATTTGCCCCGTCGTCGACTTAAGGCGGGGCGAAAGTGGCGTCAAAGGTCTCGTTTGTGAAACTTTTTTCCGAACTGCGTGTATCCGAATCATTTCAAACTTTACAACGATAACATCGAAGCTACGAGGAAGGTCCCGACACTCATGAAGTTTCAATATCTATAACAAATTAAAAAAAAAAAAAATGAAATTTCACGAGTATCGCGTTCTTTCTTAGGGCCTTCGTAATCACAAGTTTCAGATAATTCGATGCATCCGGTTTGGAGAAAAGTTTTATAAATATTTTGGCGTCTTATATGTATAGATTGACCCTTTCACATCACCTTAAGGTGGCGTCAAAGAGGTTTCGTTTATGAAACTTCTCTTCGACCTGGGTGTACCGAATCATGTCAAACTTTACAACGTGGATACAGAGGCTATAAAGAAAGTCCGGACATCCATGAAATTTCAATTTTTCAAAAAGTTGTTTCTAGACGTTTTTCGATCGTTTAAATAAAAAATTTAATTTCGTGACTGTTAGGACTTTCCTTATAGCCGCCGTATTAATATTGTAATGTTTGAAACGATTCGGTACACCCAGTTCGAAGAAAAGTTTCATGAACGATTGACTCCTCGGATGCCATTTTCGCATCCCCTTAAGAACAGAGAATAATTTGATGTTAAGATTATCGAGGGTGGTCCAGATAACAACATTTGTCCTTGCAATTTTAGGAAAAAGAAAAAATTAAATGAGACCGTTATCGATGGGACTTCGTCGTGCAAGTACGGAAAAATGTATCGGTATCATCTTTCTTTCTTTTCGACACAAAATGACGATTATGGATTATGGAGAAGTTTTACCGCAACGCCTTCGGATCAGCGATCAACAATGTTTTACCTTGCAGATGCAGTTGAAGCACCTGGTGTTCGGGATTTTGTCCACGGTGAAGTCCTCCCCCTCCACGTCGCAGGTTTCCCGACTTCCTGTAATTAGAACGCAACGTGAAGTTTGAAAAATGAAGCAAATAACTCTGTCCATCCGATTACGTATTTTCAGGAGGTTTTCCGATTTTCCTGAATCAATCTGAAAGCGTATTTCCACGTCCCGTTCCTACGCCCGTTCAACAATTTCTCCACGGCCATTTCAAGACCCTGATATCATTGATGAAAGGTGGGTGTGCAATTTTTTCTTACAGTTTTTCCAGAGAAATTTTAGGATTACAAATATTGCCATTAAGGGGCGACCGCCTTATCGCGATGTTCAACTCGGAAGCACTTATGGGCGATCGAACCGTGATACTCGTGCCCTGATAAAAATCGATGGAAATTTACATACATTTTTACACACTTTATAACTTGAGTTTCACCCGGAAAAACATAAAATGGAAGAATTACAAAGGAGAAAATGTAATATTACATTATAATTTTCTATAATTTAACTCGGATGCCGAATGTGATATTACAGAGACAATGTAATTTTATTGCAATTTATCGTGGCATGAAAATAACCAGTGATCGATGGGCATTATTATCAGCGCGTACAGGATGAGGTCCGATCGGTGATTCCACGGTCATCTCGCGATTACGTTAGATCAATAGTTTCCCTAGACCATGTAGAACCTGAATGTCAGGGAACGACATTTCTAAAAGGACAAGGATGAGCGGGTTACTCATTTCACGGCAGATAGTAAGTGAAGCGAAGGATTAAAAACAACCAAGTTACATCGGATAAGCAATTTTCTTGCAGCCCACGTGGGATCTTCGTATCGGTGAAGCGGCATTTACAAATTGACGTTCTCCTGCAGACCGCGTCGAAGTTTCGAATCAGCGAAGAGAAAAAAAGGACAAAGATGAGTATCGTTTCTGCCCATTATTAAAACGGGTGATCAGAGAATCGGCAGTTCCAGGACACCCTAGGACTACACCCGCGATGGACCAGAGATTTTGCAACGGCCCATGAGGAATCTTTGCATCACCGAAGGGATGCTTTTAAAGAGACAAGGACGAGAACGGCCTTAACGCTTAACCCAGAGAAGAGTCGGGATCACGAAGGGGCTTTCAAGGATCGTCCAAGAAGCGCCCATGGACGACCGAACCACGATACTTAAGATGGCGTGAAAGTGGCGTCGAAGAGGTCTCGTTTATGAAACTTTTCTCCGAACCGGGGGTACCGAATCGTTTTAAATCTTACAATCTAAATATAGAGGCCACAAGAAAGGTCCCGATGCCCACGAAACTTCAATTTTAAGATAATTTCTTTATATTATCACCGTTGATGTATAAAAGATGAAATCTCGCGAGTTTTAGGACCCACCTTAGGGTCTCCTTCTTCGTGTGGTAAAATTTGAAACAAATTGGTACGCTCAATTCGGAGAATACTTTCACGAACGATTGACCCTTCGAATGCCACTTACGCATCCCCTTAACGGTTTACCGACCGGAAACCTATTAATCGGTTTTGCGATACCCGTGATCCGCATTTACTTCCAAATTCGCTGGTCGGTAATTAACCGAGAAACCGTTCATTTGGAAATCGGTGAAAACGATTTCCTTCTTTGAGAATCGATTGCCTTTGATTTCACGTGATAAACAACAGGGCGATTCGGTAAGAAGTAACGTTCGGCCTTAAAATTGTGACAATATTCAGGGATTTCCACATGATTTCAAGCGTTAAAATCCATGATTTCCTAAGTGAATGCCTCCTCGGTATTAACGGTAAAACTACCGATGGATTTTTTTATGCCGTGGTGCACCATCTAAAACCAGTCATTTCGACCGAGCCTGGTAGTTCCAGGGCTAAAGAGTCCACCAGAGTGCCAAAGAGTCCATCGGAGGTCCTAGGGCTCGTCGACGACTGCGTCGTTTCATTCCCCCTCGAACGTCCACTGCAGGCACACCGACGGATGACGGAATCGCGACGCTCACGTAGGATAGCCGTGCACCGGAGATGCCGATACCTACCCACGACTGCCCCAGCCATTTCTCTGCGACCCACGCGAGACCTTCGCATCCGCGGAGCGATATTTCCGAAAGGACAAGGACGCGGGTCTCCGCCTCGGTGCGACGCGCACCGCAAGGTGCACCAGTGAACGACGGAATCGTTCCTTCTCCTTCGACCGTCTTTTCTACGTCTCTTGGCAACAGCCAAGAGACGACGATAAACGGCGAGTTTCGTGTCGACGCATCCTGAATAAAGAGCCCTTTTCTATATCGCGCTCGCTAACCGGATAGTCGATATCCTACAAAATGGCGTGCCGTTTTGAAGCCACCTAGTTACGCGCACGGTAACTCCCTTAGTATCGCTGCCCCTCCGTAGGTGGCGCTGGGGTGCCTCGAATTCGTCCAAGTTCTCTCCATACGGAACATATAGGTATTAGCTATACAATTAGTACATAAGTCAGTGGTCGAAGTCCTCTCCGTATAGAAGAAGTAGGTATCAGCTATTCGGTTAGTCCATAGATCGATGGATCGACGGCTCAAAACTTTTGCACTGGCGCCCACGTTACTTTGGTATCGCTGCCCTTGTTCGCTTACGTAGTTGGCGGTGGGGTGTATCGAATTCGGCCAAGTATTTTCCGTATAGAACAAATAGGAATAAAGATCCAGGGAGTATATAGATCAGCGATCGCGTTGTCCAGTCGTTTCGCATTTGGTGTCAGGCTTGGGTAAGATAACGGTGGGTAGAGGATCCTCGGACTTTCCTCCGGCTTTTCGAGATAGCCCACGCGTAATGCCGATATATCGATTGAGCGACCTTTCCGGAAGGATCGGCGCGGTTATTCCGCGACTCGTCCGTGGGAACTGCAGGATCACGCCCGGATAAAAAACATCCGTTACCCTTACAGAAAAATGTAAAAAAAAATGGAATCGGCCGTGGACGATCGAATAATGATACTTACGTATAGTGGTCGGAGCACCGGAGGGTGCTCGGTCTCGACCGGGTCCTAGGGAGGTTCCCCTAGGAGGAACCGCTCTCTCGTTCTCCCTAGGGATTTCCTCGCTCTCCGGGTTGGCCGAACGCCGCGTCCCCTCGTGCCCTCCCCCGCATTCCTGCACACTTCAATCAACGAACAAGCCTTTTAATCTCGCTCCAGCTCCGACCTTCCAGCTTCCGCCGTTCGAGCCCGATCTTGCCGGCCGCGACGCCGCGTTTTCTCCGCGACCAAGACGAATCATTCCCGGGGATTCCGAGCTCCTCCCGACGTCCAGGAAGGATTTCCGACGGGGCGAAGGAATGGGGGGGAATTTATCTTTTAGGTTAGGTTAAGTTAGCTTAAAGGGATGCGAAAGTGCCATCCGAAGAGTCGATCGTACGTGAAACTTTTTCTCAAACCGGGGGTACCGAAGCGATTCAACCTTTACGATATAAATGTGGCGAGGAGAAGGAAGTTCCTGAAACCCATGAAACTTCATTTTTCATAAACAATTTTTTTAATTTCTCCACAAAAAATTTCATGGATGTCAGGGCCTTCCTTATAGTCTCCATGTCCACGTTGTAAAGTTTAAAACGAATCGGTACCCCCAGTTCGGGCAAAAATTTCATAAACCATTTATCCCTCAAATGTCATCTTTATGTCGTTTTAAATTTCGGGTATCAACGGATTTAGAATGTACGCTTTCGGAATGTTCCCCGAGCGTACACACGGACTGTAGCAATGTCTTCTCTATTTCTATGGTTACATCTCGAAGAGAAAAATGTGTAAGAGGAGGGTACACCGATAAAAACGCCCATGTAAATTTACATACCGAATCATTGGTTATTTTGATGCCACGATAAACTTGCAGTAGAATTACGTTATCTCTGTAATATCACATTCGGTATCTAAGTTTAAAGAGAATTATAACGTAACATTATATCTAATTCAAGTAAAACTGCACTAATATGGAAAATATACAATATTAGGGGTATTTATACATTTTCTAATTTGTAATTCTTCGACTTTACATTTTTCCGGGCGAAACTTAAGTTACGAAGTGTGTAAAAATGTATGTAAATTTCCATCAATTTTTATCAGGGTAGATCGGGGAGTACCCAGATAACGCCACTGTACCTATCGGAATATTTGGTGAATATTCTGTATATATATGCTTTGAATATTCACTACATATATCATAAATATTTGCATGATATTCTAAGACCAAATATTCGACGTGAAAATTCGTAGAACGTTCATAGGATCCAGAAGCGTTATCTGGGAAAGGACGGCTATCATGGCGATCGTTCCGAAAGGTTTCCGAAAGGGTTCCGAAAGGGTTCCGAAAGGGTTCCGAAAGGGTTCCGAAAGGGTTAGGACGGATCCTCGGATCTGTGGGCTGCCAGAGGATTCTGAATGGCACTTTGTGTCCCTGGACGAGGATCGGACTCCGCGAGATTCCGGGACGAAATTGAGGGTCGTTGCTTGAACAGTGCGCAGGAATGCGTGCGTGAGAAGCTCGTGTATACTGTTTTATATACGGTTATGTAACGCAGCGTCGGCGGCCGGTCGGCAGATCCGAGTCAACATTTTCGGTCCATGGAAGTCCGTGCAGAATATTCGTCAGACTTTCGTCTCGATATACAACCATGAAGTGGTACAAGGAGACCCAACGCCAATGGTCGATTCCACGGAAGTCGGGACCCAACGACGCGAGCGCTACTTGCGGAAAACGAGGGAACTCCGATCCTCCGTGACCAAAACGTTTCCTGCCGACGTAGATTACCTAAAATGCTTTCAATTTGGCAATTAAGGAGACGTGAAAGTGCCATCCGAAAGGTGAATCGTTCGTGAAACTTTTCTACAAACAGGATGTACCGAATCGTTTCAAACTTCACACCGTGAACGTGGAGGCTATAAAAAAGATATCGACCCTCGTCAAATTTCATTTATTATAAACAAATTAAAAAAAAAGAAATTTCATGAGTTTCGGGACCTTCCTTATAGTCTTCGTGTTCAGGTTGCGAAGTTTTAAACGATTCGGTATCCCCAATTCGGAGAAAAGTTTCACGAACGAAACCTCTTCGACGCCACTTTGGCATCACCTTAAGGTATGGAAAACGACCCGATCGGAAAAAATCCGAAGATCTCGGATCCCTAAAGTGGGTACGATTTCAATACATGGCGCTGTATCTCCTTATACTACTTCGTGGATACGACGACATTGAATAACGACGCTGACGTCGTCCAGCGGTAATCAGGTGATAGATTATCGGATACCGTAAAACGGTCTGCACATGGTTTGCATCGGATCGATCCATAGACATATAGGATGGACCGAGTATCTATCGCTGCCACTCTGTTCGCGTAATAGAAACAAAGAGAGAAGGTAGTACGGAGTTTCCGATTGGTCACCTTATCGGAGGAGACCAATCGGAAGAGAGTAACCCGTACTACTTTCTCTCTCTTTCCATCGGACGGACATTCTCTTCGTTGTTGGCAACAATAGATGCTCGGTCCATCCTATATGTATATGGATCGATCGCTGTCACTCCAAAAGTTGCAAACAACCTAAAAGATCATTCATACTTCTCGCAGACTAAATACAGACCGAAGATCTTCATTCGAGGGACGAATTGTAACATATTCCTCTTATCGAGAGGTTATCGCCCGATAACAGTACACAATTTATTAGGAGAGAATGGTAGAGGTAAGAGAGAACCAATTTTCACGGTAATATGTGTCACGATTTCGAAAAATATAAAAAAAAGTACCTTTTAGTGAATTCCTTTTAGTCGGTCTCCCTCCTCGCACAAGATATTTTAATTTAATTCCGTAACTGTGAATCGTAGGTGAAAAATATGTAAATTTATACCCTGTATACAATTTCCTTTGTCTACAAATTCAATTTTTCTTTTTTGTGAAAAGAAGTTGTAGAAAAGAAAATATTAATAACCGGATTCCACGTGAGGAGCTGCTCCATGAATTCTTTTCAAGTCCCTTTAAATGAAACTGGAAGCACAAATAATTGCAAGTAATACCTTTCCAGTCGATTTCATATTGTACGGTCTCGTACAGTTGGACGCAATAAAATACGAAACGCATCAACGCAAACTCAATCCTGAATATCGTTTACAAATAAAAATTCACCAAGATAAGAGTGCAACGACAAATCCTTAAACGATAATGTTAATATTTTTATTATATAAATCCTTAAACGGTGATATTCATCTTTTATCCCAGTACTCGTTCGAACAAAAAAAAAAGTACGAAGACGATAAAGGAAAAAATCAGTTTGTACAAGTTCAGCGATTTGAACAAAAAAAAAAGAATCGAAGAGATATTCAAAACCGATAAAGTCTCAGTAATTTTCCCTGTTTGTAAATAATTTTCATCGAAACAAACTGATTTCCTTTTATCGCAGCAAATATTCCGCGCGTAATATGCAACGATTCCTTGGATGAACGTCAATAAAGACATCGCAATAAATCAATGTAGAAGGAAATGTAATTTCTGCACGACAAATCGAATTGGAAAAGTCATGAAATAGTTCTTGCAACTTCTATTAAGGGGGGGTGAAAGCATCATCCGAGGAGCCAATCGTTCATGAAACTTTTCTCCGAACTGGGTGTGCCGAATCGTTTCAAACTTTATAGTATGAACATGGAGACTATAAGGAAGGTTCCAACCCTCATAAAATTTCAGTTTTTATTCAAAATTTTGTTAAATATCCATAAAGAAATTATTTAAAGATTGAAATTTCACGAGGGTCGGGACCTTCCTTACAGCTTCCACGTTCATATTTTCAAGTTTGAAACGCTTCGGTACACCCAGTTCGATGAAAGGTTTCATAAACGAGACCTCTTTGACGTCACTTTCACGTCGCCTTAACGTTCAATATAGTTTCGTAAGGCGCGCAAGGACGATTAGGGGCGACGCGAGCGCCATCTGGCCGGCACAACTGGGTTATCGCGTCCCACCGTATAATTCGCCGACCTGCGAATAATTGCTCGAGTAATTGAACTCCCGGGAGGGGTGCAGTTCGCTCGGATCGTCAACAAACCATTTGACGGATTAGTTGACCGCGGCCGAATCGCTCGACCCGCCACTCGGCGAGTGCGCGTACAGTGGGGGACATTAAGGCGAAGTGAAATACGTCGAGGAACTCGATCGATAAATACCTCCGTTGCCGACGTTGGTTTTTATATCGGCAGCTGTGTCCAGTTATATTGAATACGGAACCAAATGGCGTACTCCGCCTGTCGTTTTTCTACAATAATTATAAAGTAATCGAAGTAAAACTCCATGTTCGCGTTGTAAGGTTTGAAAGAATTTGATACACCCAGGTCGGAAAAAAGTTTCACGAGCGGAACCTCCTCGACGCCATTTTCACATCACCTTAAGATCTGATTTGATGCGCTATTCTTTTATGCGCGGGCCCACGCTGCGATAGGACGACGGCGAGTAACTCGTCGCCCTGTACTCGCAGTAGTAATGCCGTTTAAGGATCAGACAAGAGGCCGAGCCTAACGATTCCCCTGCGGTCAAACGACTCGACTGGCCCGAATATTTCCACCGAGGAATTGAACTTAACGCGCCGTTTCTCGGCCGAGCGTCTTGTGTTTTGATGCTTCGCTTATCGCCAATTATCCCTTGCTCCTCGATCGCCAGACGATCCCGTCGCGCGGCGACGTTCGTCGACAATTTCGTTACGCTACGTTTCTTGACGGTCTTACGATAATCCACCATTTGGATATATTATTCTCCATGGAAATATTCGACGGAAACCTTGTTAACAAAATCTCATAGAAAATCACCTCCGTGGGAAAGAAATCTTGTCGAGTACAAGAAAAAAAGATAAAGATAGGAAAGTTAGGAATTTAAACTTCCAATGCACGAGTTTACCCGCGATAACGAGTTTCAGCTCGAAAAACAATTTCACGAAGGATTGACCCCTCGGATGCCACTTTCTCATCCCCTTAACCCTTCGAATACCGAGCCCTTTCGACATATGGGCGAAATTCATCAAAGCGCGCAGGCAATATTGGACCAAACGTCTAGTGGCGAAATTTCTACGCAAGACTAGACGCGACCAATGGACAATTGCGTTCATATTACTTGACCAATCAATAATTTTGGTCAGCAGGAAACCACGTTTCGGGGCAATTCCCGTGTTGCGTCCAACTGTACGGAGACCTTCCAAGCAATGTTTACGCTCGACCAATAACTATCTTCGTTTACATGGAATCTAAAGACACCTTCCAAACGACCCTGGTATACAATTAACGACAAACTCGACTTCCTCGGAATCCAAGCTCGAAGTGCACGAGGTTGTTCGCGACGACCCAAGAATTTTGCTGTATTGGTCAAATTTCTAGGGTCTAATCGATATACAATCGATATAAAGACCCCGTCCAAACGACCCTCGTATGCAATGAACAACAAACACGTTTTCCTCGGAATTCAAGCATGAAGTGCACGAGGTTGTTCGCGACGACTCAAGAATTTTGCTGGATTGGTCAAATTTCTAGGGTTTAATCGATATACAATCGATATAAAGACCCCGTCCAAACGACCCTCGTATACGATCAACGATAAACTCGATTTCCTCGGAATCCAAGCTCGAAATGCACGAGGTTGTTCGCGACGACCCAAGAATTTTGCTGGATTGGTCAAATTTCTAGGGCCTAATCGATATACAATCGATATAAAGACACCGGCCAAACGACCCTCGTATGCAATGAACAACAAACACGTTTTCCTCGGAATTCAAGCATGAAGTGCACGAGGTTGTTCGCGACGACTCAAGAATTTTGCTGGATTGGTCAAATTTCTAGGGTCCAATCGATACATATTCGATAGCTAATCCTGCTCGGCAAGGATTCCAATTTCTGATCCGAAGATCCGGGAGCAGCAGACGTCCAAGACACAATTGGACGGAGTCTGAAAAACGGAGTCCGATGACTTCCAATAACGATCGGTCAAAGTCCGGGCCCGATGGAATGCCGCGAAATCAGTTCTCTCGTCCCCCACCTCGCCCCTCGGCTCGGCTCCCTTACCGATGATGCTCTCGGAGACGGTGTCGCACCTCCGGACGGCCGCCACGACGAGGAGGGCCAGCGAGAGCGTCAGCTGCGTCGACGGCGTGGAGGCCAACTCCATGGCTGGGTTCCCGCCGAGACCTTGCGCCTCCGACTGCGAACACAAAGTTCCTCTTGTGAGAAATGCCCGCAAATGCTTCTACGTTTACAAGGGAATAGAGTCTCGCGCCAAATACCGAGGCGTCGTATTATTTAAAAATCCTTTTTCCGAATCGTTTGAAACTTTGCCACGTGAGTTCGAAGGCTTTAAGGAAGCTCCTGGCGACCGTGTCGTTTCATTTTTCAAAGAAAACGTTCGCCTTTATCTAGGACTGGAACTTTTTCACCGCTTACGATAAAAGACGAAGACTTTCAAGATGTGGACATTACGGTTTGGAACGCTATAGCAATCGAACGTTAAGGATTCACGGGGGAAATTGGATATCTCGGGCAAATAGGGTACACGTGCTCGGACGAAAAATTGAGTTCTCGCAAGCTGCGCCAGGTGGCGCCGTCGGTCGAGGAGAGCATCGATAACTATGAATCCAGGTCTGTTTCCTCTCTCCTTCGATTCGTAGTGCCCTCGCGTGTCCCACGTCTCGTCTCTGCCTTTGACGCCGATTGCAGACACTTGCCGCCGTTTAAGGCCGCATCGAGTGTTTGCTCGCGTCGCGAGTAAACACTCCGGGACGCGTAAACACGCGGCCGCGACTGCGCCCGAAGACGAGCGGGAATGTTATTCGCGAGGTCTTGCGAGCATTTCAGAGAGAATGGAAGCCGACGAGGGTCACTTTTCTCTCTTTGGAAGTTCTTCGAACGAACCAACGCAAAGATTTTACTTTTCTTTGCTCTTCCGGAAGGAGAGAGGTAACTTTATGCATTGTATGTATGTACGTATGCACGGGTATACATTTGGCGCAAAACTCTACCTAGTTTCCTGATTCTCCGGACAAGGTGCTTTCGTGGGTTCTTTTCTTGAAATATTGTCGAAACCAGTAAATACTAAGTTTTTACGGAAAATCGGATTTGAATTTAATATTCTTTTTTTTTCTTCTGGGTCTTTTACGAAAGGACGTCTTCGTATGTTTTTTTTTTTCCCCTTTAAATACCGTTAAACCGATCAAATTCGGAAGTCTGGCGAAGAATTTCATTTAATACACGATTACGCATAATGTATCTTTTACATATTTACGTACTAAATATATGTTTTATGGTCATACGGAAACGTTATTCCCCAGAAACCTGAACATTTCACAGATATTTCGATTTAATATATTTTTACGACCGCATTTAATATACTAGACCGCTCATCGATCTTGGGAGATATGGTAAAGTTCCTAAATTTTATATAGACGTTGCGAAAGACAAGACTAACGGATAAACTAGCAAATAACTTAATAAATATATTATTTAGGAAATACGCCGTCGAGAACCTACGAAAATATCGTGAAGCGACTATAGTGTTGGGAAATATTGTAAAGCGACTATTTTGTTATAAAATGCAACGACGTGCAGTTGCATCGAAATGCAGAGGATGACTCGTCGCAGCCTGACAGACCGACGTCCACAGTTCACGCTACTTTTTTCTCCTCTCAACCGATACGAATGTACGTCTAGTGAACAACATAATTAATCATTGTTTTAATTAATCTAATCGCTCGTATCATTGTTTAATCGTTTTTTCCTCTCGCTGCCTCGATTTCGTCTAGACGCAACACGTCCTCGGCGTTCTCTTTAACTTTTCTACCTAGAACGATCGAGTCCGTTTTCGTAGTTGTAGATATTTCTAAGGAATATTCGTTCCTTTACATTTTCTTAAATGGAAGTCCAAGAAATTTATAGAAATTCAAGAAACGGAACGGTAAATGATCTCGAATATTTAGTCTTGTATATCTGCGCGTATAAAGACCTGTCGTTAAACGGCCGAATTGTTGGGAAATTAATTGCTTAAGGTAACGCGACAGGGGCATCAAAGATGTCTCGTTTCGGATACATTTCTCCAAACTGGGCATATCGAATCGTTTCAAACTTTACAGGATGAATATGGAGGCTACAAGGAAGGTTCCGAAACTCTCGCAATTTCGACTTTTTCAGAGTTTGTCTATTGATATTTCAACATTTTTGTCTAAAGATTGAAATTATACGGGGGTCCGGACCTTTCTTATAGCCTCCATATTTCCGTGGTAAAATTTGAAACGAATCGATACACCCAATTCGGAAGATACTTTCAGCTCTCGGATATATATATACGGGAACTCTTCCATATCACCTTAAAAACAGGCGGGGATAGATAAAAATATACGGATGATCTCGTTTAGCGGTTCGTCCGAAGAGCCTTCGTTCCTTCGCATCTTCCGCAATGGAAGTCGGCGTGTCCTAAAAGCGATGAAAACCGCGAAAGCTCGCAGCCGGTGTCTCTCGTCTCGAATCGGAGCCGACCCTGACCATGGCCAAGTCTCGGGGTTCGAGGAAGTCCTCGGATGTGTCGCAATATTTACTCGACAATGAGCCCGACCGGGGAGCACGTGCTCCGACACGCGTCGCGACGCCGCGCAGACCTCGCTCGGCTTCTTGCCGCGCTTTTTGCCACCGACGTTCCCATATTTCAATTTCAACGAGGGTCACCGCCGAGGAAAATCCCCTCCATTTTCCCCGCTGAAAAAGCCAAGCGACGCGACGTCTCGCCTTCTGGCCGATTATGTAAACCGGCGTCGACTGTCCGATCGCAAATCGAAAAAGCGGAACCATTTGAGCCACGAGGAGGTGCGGGAGAACGAATTCGCTGAACGACGTCGCGTCGGGAGGTGTTAAGATGATACGAAAAAATTACCCTATATACATCCGAGAAGTCAAATCGTTGGGGAAAGTATTCTCCGAATTGGATTCAATGCGTTTCAAATTTTACCACGGGAATATGGAGGTTCCATATCTCATGAAACTTCATTTTCCATAGAAAATTTATTTATTTGCCATGGACTAGAACCAGCACGGGGTGGTCCGGGCACGTTTTCGATGTTTTACGCTCCTTGGAGGCTTAGAATCTAAAATAAAGAGTTTCAGGACCTAGCTCGAACAATTTAGAATACCGTGGAAATGGAATATTACGGAGTCAGATGGGAAAATATGGTAAATACTTTCACCAACGATTGCAAGAGAATGCTGGCTTGTTTTTACAGCAAAAATTTAGTTACAGCTAAACGTCACAGGTTGGTCCTAAACAGTCGTTAGAGTAATGAATTCACGGAATTTCGACAGTTATTTATTGATCTCTTCATCATTACTTTACCGAAATGGCATATGAAACGCATCGTTCATGAAACTTTTCTCCAAACTGGGTGCACCGAATCGTTGGAAACTTCGGCACGTGATTATGGAGGCTCGAAAGAAAATATATATACTCTTGGTTCTAGTCTGGACTAAACGGAAATAATTATTTTATTAAAACTGAAATTTCACGAGCACCGTGTTCTTTCTTCGGGCCTCCATAATCGCGTGTCAAAGTTTCCATTTGGTGCATCCAGTTTGGAGAAAAGTTTTATAAATATTTTGACGTTTTATGTATATAGAATGACCCTTTCGTCCCACCTTAAGGTGGGATAGAAGTCGCGTTTACCCTAGCAAACGAAGCGCAGGAACGAAATGACATTTCCGGAAATGTCCCCAGGAATCGACGCGAATTCGCGAAATAAAGCTGCATCGCGAGGCGATAATTCCCTTTCTGCTTCCCGAACGGCTTCCGACGAGATAAGTCCAAGGTTACACCCGGAAGTAAAAGTCGAGAAGCAAACTTTACAAACGGAGTCAGCATTTGGACAGTTGTCGCAAGAGCTGACGACTTCATCGATAACGTCTACTACGTATTTCATGAATGGCAAATATCTGACGAAACGATCGATCGAGCGAAGTTAGGCGCGGACCAGAATAAACCGCTAAAATTTGGTTAAGGAGATGTGAAAGTGGCATTTGAAGACTCAATCGTTCGTGAAATTTTTTCTCGACCTGAATGTACCGAATCGTTTCAAGCTTTACAAAGTAAATGTGAAGGCTATAAGGAAGGTCCTGACCCTCGTGAAATTACATGTTTTATAAGAAATTTTAAAAATACCTGTGAAAAAATGTTTAACAAATTGAAATTTCATGAGTTTTAGGATCTTTCTCATACCCTCCGTATTTATATCGTAAAGTTTGAAACGATTTAGTACCCTCAGTTTCTCTCTAAATTTCTTAACTTAGCCCAGATCGGAACCAAAATGGCGTCGAGCTATCGTATTTCGATCGAGATACAGTTATCGAAGGATCTAATATATGAAACGAAAGGGTCAGGACCATTGTACGAGAATTTAGAGCACTCCGGTAATCGACAAACTTGTATTTGAACGGGATAAAGGCAAAAAAAGTGTCTTATGCGCTGCTATGCCAAAACGATGGGAATGCGAGGTCTCGGAGCGAAAATTTAGTTGACACGGAAACCACCGATGGCGCAGGGGGTCCCTCCGCAGCCAATCAGGGCCTCGGAAAGCACGAATTCAGAGGATTTCTGGAGTTTTACTTCGATTTCTCTATAATTATCGTACGAAAACGACAGGTGGAGTATGCCATTTGCTACAATGTCCAATACATTTCATTATTGGACCCAGCTGTCGATATAAAAAGCAACGTGGGCAACGTAGGTATTTATAAAAGTCTTTTATACCGACGTCGATCGAGTTCCTCGGCGGGTTTCACTTCACCTTAACAGTCGAAGGGAGAACCTTTGACTATAAAGCCGAGTCCACGAGTGGCTTTCGGAGTCGCGGACCGTCCGGGGAGCGGGAGAGATTCCTAGATCGGTCCTCCGGTCAACTTTCACGCGGTGGATTTCGAGCCGGAGGGGCCACTCCGAGGAGCGACGTCTCCTCGACCGAGAAGCCGAGTCTCCGAGCAGCCTTCGGGAACGGGAGCCTCTCCCTTTGTCTAGCGCGTCCACTCGAAGCGAGGCGCAAAGAGCAGCGATGCTTTCTAAAAAAGAAACTACTCCGATGGCGTTTCTATGAGGGAAGAGACCGATCGTCCGGACGTCGAGAGGTCGACTCGTCGCTCTTTTAACGGAAGTCCAGGAAGAGTCGAACTTGAGTTAAAGGGGATGCGAAAGCGGCATCCGAGGAGTCGATCGTTCGTGAAACTTTCTGCCGAACCGGGGATACCGATTCGTTTCAAATTTTACAACGTGAAAATGGAGACTATAAAGAAAACCTTGACACCTAGGAAATTTCATTTTTAATCAAAAAAATTGAAAAAGTACCTATAAACAAATTTTTAAAAGATTCAAATTTCATGGGGTTAGAACCTTCCTTGTAGCCTCTTTATTTACGTTGTAAAGTTTGAAACGATTGGGTGCACCCAATTCGAAGAAATGTTTCATAAACGAGACCTCCTTCACGCCACGTTCTCGTCACCTTAACCCTTTCGTCCCGAGCGCCGACTATAATCGACATGGGTGTACGAGAGCCAACTATAGTTTAAGATTAAATTTTAACAGTGAAATAATGCGACGGAACAGTTATTATTTAACACTTAGAAAAGTGTACGTACAAAGGATGCCAAGGAGGCGTTGTTCGGGTGGAAGACGTAAGTTCGAACATTGAAGATCGCAGACGCGCAATGTGCACCCTCCTCTCCGGCAAAGCGGACAGCCGGGACGGAAGGGTTAAGGGGATACGAAAGTGGCATCTTAGAGGACAATCGTTCGTGAAACTTTTTTCCGAATTGGGTGTATCAATTTCTTTCAAATTTTACCACTAGAATAAGGGGACCGTAAGGTAGGTCTTGAAACTCGCGAACTTTCGTTTCTTATTAAAATTGTCGAAAATAGCTATAAACAAATTATTTAAAAATTGAAATTTCGAGGATTTTAGGACCTTGCTTCCAGCCTCCGTATTCCCAATTGTCAAGTTTGAGACGATTCGGTACACTCACGTCGGAGAAAAATTTCATAAACGATACCTCTTTGATGCCACTTTCGCATCACCTAAAGGAAGGTTCCGATGCTTACGGAATTGCATTCCTCGTAAAAACTCCAAACGACTTGAAAAACATGAAATTTCATAGACATAAGACCATCCCAATGGCTTCCACGTGACGAGCCTTCAAACGATTCGGTCCGGCGCAAAGTTTCATAAGCGATCCGTCTCCTCGTCTCGCCTTCGGCAGCCTCGGACATAAGCGAAGAAGAAACGCAAAGAGGGGCCCAACAAAGGATGAAAATAAACTCAACCCACTTTTCCGGAGCGTCCCAAGCCCCCCGCGATGTCGAGGACGGGGACGCACTGGGGCCACTGGGGGCCCGGGAAATAACAACAACCCCTCGCGGCGTCGCCGGGGGAGTGGAGGGGGAAGCCGCGTGGCCGGCCTCGGCCCCTCCCCTCCCCTGCGCCGCTTGCGCGCGCACGCGAGGAAAGTTAGCCGAAGGCCGCTCGAATCCGCGCGAGCGCGAAGGCACGATTATTGCCTCACCTGTGCGCAGAGCGCGCCGCGCATGCACAATAGCCGCGCTCGCGACAGGTTGCCGACGGCCTCTCCCCCCTCCCCGCCCCCTTGGGAGTGGACGAGAGCGCCTTTCCGTACCTAGGAATTAAAACTCGACGAGCGGCGTATAGAGCCGCTCTCCGCATGGGATGCCCGACGAGAGACCGACCTTTCGTCGTTACGGTTTCCGAGAGCAGGGCGCGGGACTCCGACGAACTTCGACAAATGCGAGATCGGATAGGAAGGGTTGCTCCTCGAGGGGATGTAAAAGTGGCGTCGAACGGGTTTTTGTTTCCGTTTATGAAATTTCTCATCGAGTTAGGAAAACCGAATCGTTTTTCAACTTTATAACGTGAATATGGAGGCTAGAAGAAACGTTCTCACCCCCATGAAATTTGAATTAGTTAAAGTTTCTTTGTAGGTATTGTTTAAATTTTTTATTGAGAAATTAAATTTTACGAATCTCAGGATTTTCTTCGCGAACTCCACGTTCACGTTGCAAAATTTGAAAATATTCGGTACACCGAGTTCACTGAAAAGTTTCATGAACGCTCGATCCTTTGGATACTACTTTCGCATCTCCTTAAAGTGACGCGAAAGGGCCATTACATATATATAACGTCAAAATATCTATAAAACCTTTTACCACATTGGGGCCATCGGTTCGTTGGAGACTTCGGCATGTGATTATGGAGGCCATAAGGAAGAACGTGGTGCTCGTGAAATTTCAATTTTAATGACAACTTTTGTTCCCCAGACTAGAACCAAGAATATACATATATTTTTTAAATGAAATTTCATGAGTACCACGTTCTTCCCGGAGCCTTCGTAATCACGTGCCGAAGTTTCAAATGATTCGGTGCCCCCGGTTTGGAGAAAAGTTTTATAAATATTTTCACACTTTTGTATATATAAAATGGCCCTTCCACATCACCTTAAGGCGTTGCGGGAGTGGCCTCTCGGGCGTCGGATCGTTCAGGTTTTCTCCGAACTGGATGCATCGAATAGTTCTAAACATTGCAACGTAAATATGGAGGGCATAAGGAAGGTCCTGGCACCCACGAATTTTCAATTTTTTACAAATTCCTTTATATATGTTCAGAATTTGGTATAAAAAATGTAATTTTGCGAGTTTCAGAGCCTACCTTAGCGTCTCCTTATTCGCGCGGTAAAGTTGAAAACAAATTGGTACCCCCAATTCGAAGAATACTTGGTCAAACGATTGACCCCTTTCGGATGCCACTTTCGTAACACCTTAAAGTGGTGCGATAGTAGGCGTCAAAGAGGTCTTGTTTACGAAACTTATTTCCGAACTGAATCGTTTTAAACTTTACAATGTGAACATAGAGGCTCTAAGGAAGGTACCGACACCCATTAAATTTCAATTTTAAGACAATTTCTTTATAGCTAGTTTCACTTTTTTTTATATAAAAAGTAAAATCTTGCGAGTTTTAGAACCTACCGTGGGGTCTCCTTATTCGTGAGGTAAAGTTTAAAGCAAATTAATCCCCTCAATTCGGAGAATACTTTGACGAAAGATTGACCCCTCGGCGCCACTTTCGTAACACCTTAAGGGTGCTCCGACCGTAATCGGCAATCCGAGTTCTGGAAATCCGGGGTGAATATGGGCCATTCTGGCCGGAAACGCGACTAACGGCCGATCCGGTAAAGTGAGTAAAAAGTGAGTGAAAAGTGAGTAAAGCGTGAGACCGTTCCGAGACTTACGTCAAGCCTACTCGAGCGAACACATGGAAGGTAGGTCGGAGTATGCACGAGTTATTGGAAATGCCAAGGACTTCGAGATCGTAACGAGACGCGCGCGAGCCGTCAGAAGGCAAATCGGGGATCCTTCCGATCGACTCCGTAAACAACGCCAGCGAGTCTGGCGGGTGAATCGCGAAGATAGGTTATGTGACCGACTGCGAAGACGGCAGAACCGAAAAAGAAAACGAGAGGGCTATTTTCCCCCTCTTTCTCCCTTTGGTAATTATGCATAGAAGGGTGATCATCTCCAACTTTTGTGTAACTTTGATATATTGTACAGGATGTCGTCCCGAGTATTTTCATGCGTATATTTAAGGGGATGCGAAAGTGGCATCTAAAGAGTCAATCGTTCTTGGAACTTTTCTCGGAACTGGGTGTACCGAATCGTTTCAAACTTTACGAAGTAAATGTAAAGGCTATAAGGAAGGTCTTGACCCTCAGGAAATTACATTTTTTATAACAAATTTTTTAGATATCTACGAACAAATTTTTAACAAATTGAAATTTCAGGACCTTCCTTATACCCTCCGCATTTATATTGTAAAGTTTGACATGACTTGGTATACTCAGTTTGAGAAAAGTTTCATAAACGAGGCCTCTTTGACGCCACTTTCGCATCACCTTAAGGGTCGGACTTGAATATTTTCGGAGTTACGACGAAGCAAAGAAAGTAAAAGACGCTATATACTTGCGGATATATATATCGACCATTTACTGTATCCTTCACATTGGAAACGTAATTTACTGGCTTTTTACGATTTTCTACGATAATCTACATGGTTTACGTAATATTCGTCAAAACCTTCGAAAAACGAGACATTTTTGGCACGTCACGTAACGTACGCGGTTTTCTACGTGCATATTACAACGTATAACACGTCCGTAGTTTTCTACGCGAACGCGAAGTACATTACGTCTTTCTCCTTCTGAATAGATAATAACAAATCCAGGTAGAAATTTGATATTAAACGGTATTAAGTCGAAAAAATTTTAAACAAGTGCAAAATTCAATCATTCCTTAAAAATATTTCCGTGTTTACATGTGCGCCAAAAGAAGTTTATAACCTAACGGGTGCCGTATATCGTCCATCCGCGGCATCTGCCATATGGGAAACATAATTTCCTGGTTTCCCACAATTTTCTACGATAAACTACTCCGTTTACGTAATACGCGTGAAAAACGTCGAAAACCGCGAAATTACTCAACCCCGATCCCTCGGAATCCGCGGCGCGGGGTGCCAGGTGGCGCCACCTGTGCTCGCGTCGCGCAGGCGCCCCTCTCTCTCTCTCCCTGGCCCGCCGCGTCGCGGCGTCCTCGTTGTCCGCGATGTCGCACTCACCCTGGGGGTCGGCGGGGGTCGTCTAGGTCGCTAGGGGGAGACCCCGGGCGCGCCCCTGACGGAAGCACTGCTGGCTCGGTGGGCCGCGACCTGGGCGCCCGGCAGGCGGAGACATCCAAACCGCGAGCGGAGACCGAGAGCGCGCACTACTCACCGCGTAACACCCGCGCCAGCTGCTCGCAGCGGCTGCACTGAGCGGCGGAGGACCAGCGCCGAGATGCTCGCGCCGAGGGCGGCCGGGTGGGGGGCGGCGCGCCGGCGGCTGCGCGGGAGCCACCGTGGCCGAGTCACGTGGGCGGCGGGGTGGGGGCGCGCCGCAGTGTTTATCCGCGCGCCGTAAGTGCCGGAGCTCCGAGAGAGAGGGATCGTGCGGTCGGAGAGAGACGGCCGATCGAGGAGTCGCGCGTTCGGACCGCACCGAGGCGAAATACTGGTTCGGACGAGGGATCCGGAGGGATGAACCGATACCAAGGAAGTATCCGTACTTTGCCTCGTTGTCCGCGCGAGGAAGACGCACCGTTGCGTATGAGGTTTTAACCCTTTAATCGGAAAACGCCACTATGGTGGCTTCCGCCGTTTAAGGTATAAAGGACAGAAGAGACATAATTTACGGGTAAAATGACGCGGAGGGCAAATCGTAAGAAAGCTTCGGCTAAAACAAAATGCTTACCTTATTTCTCGGAAGAATTTGAAGAAAAATAAGAATTATTTTTTGCCAGTAAATTAATTTGACCCTTCTTGTGCTTTATACGGGCGAATATTACAATGTAGGTTTACGGGCCCGTGAGCAGATTTTGGTCGCTTCAAAGCGTCCCGCCATTTTGTAGGATATCGGCTATCCAGGTGGTATTGGTATAAATCAGGGTCGGTTTATCCCCGGCCGCGTCCGTTCGTGCCGAGGTCCGGCCGGAATGCGTTCCCCGTAGACGAGGCGCGAGTGCGCGGAATTCCGCGAGGAGTCCGCTGCGGTTCCCTGGAAGCGGGCGCGCATGCGCGCGAACGGCGGCTTCGCGGAAGGGCCCGAGTTCCAGGGAAGCCCGCTTAACGGGGAATTCGGACCTCGGGGAGATATTCGACCGGCGTTATCTGGACCAAGGTCGTGGGAACGGTGGAATTCCGCGGAGAGGATTGGTACTAGGAGGCGGGGACGGACGGAATTCTAGGGAGACGCGAGAAGGGGTCGGTCATTTCGGTATTACGAAAAGAGGCACAATAATAGAAGGAATGGAGAAGCGAAAAAATGCGCGGTCCCTAGGAGCACAAATTATATTTTCTATATATTTAACGAATATCGTACATCGCGCAAATATTTTGCAAAATGTTTACTTGAGAATATTATTTTTAGAATATTTTCGTAAAGTGAGGTCCACGTGTCTTTGTAATAGCGTACTTACGGATACACCGGATATTTCGTTTCATTTTAATATAAGCGTTTTGGTAATATCTGCCGAATACGTTATAAACGTTTTAAAAATATTTCAAATCAAAATCACACGTTTTGTTGCCATAATGAAATAGTCCGATAGTAATCATAAAGTAAAAAATGTATTTTTATCGTATGTTTATAAATTAAAAAAGATAATTTCGATACGTTTCGAAGTTATTAATACAAAATATCATTGACATTTTCAACAAATATTTCGGATATCTTTAGATAGATGAAATCTACGAGACGTCTTAATAAATCTATTGCCCGAGATATTTAGCAAAGATTCGAAAAAATGATTTAGAAATTATTCCGTGCTACTAGAGGTGTTCTCGTTCACGAAACCGACTTGGCATGTCCGTTAAGGGTTAATTCGTAATAAACGATATCACGTTAATATATAATAAACGTACAGTGATAGCATGTTCCAGGAATGCCATCGATTGTCGTATAGTTGACGGTAGGTGCATCAGGTGCATCAGGTGCATCAGGTGCATCAGGTGCATCAACTCCTCGAACGTGGAGCGAGACCTCGCTCGGCGTCCACGTGCCATGAAAGCGGAGTGACGCACTTGGCCGCTTCATCGCGAACTATTGTTAAACCCTTTGTCACGGAAATACGATTTGCACTGTAAAGACCGCGGGTCGAATCTACGTCTGGGAATTAAGCGGAATCCACGCCCGTCAAAGAAAAAAGATGTACGTTCTTTTCGATTAATTCACTGACGCCTCTCGGTTATGAACGCCGATTCCGTTTCGCGTATCGTGACGTTAATGTGCCATTAATTGCGAAATGTTAAAGGAACGAGGTACTCGAGCCAACGTATAATACCTGGATTATAAATTTCTTTATTATACTTCTCTTTTGTTTGGAGCGAGGAACTATTCATTCAGAAAACCGTATCTTAACGCTTGAAATCACATGGAAATCAGCTGACGTCACGGGAAATCATTGAACACCGTAACAATTTCAAGGCCGAGCGTCCTTCTTATCGAATCGCATTGTTGTCTATCATATGAAATTAAAGGCAATCGGCTCTCAAAGAAGGAAATCGTTTTCACTGATTTCCAGGTGAATGGCCCCTTGCTTTCGGTTTTGCGGTTTTACCCCTTTGATCGCCGACTCCATTTTACGGGTTATGGACGATATCAATTTCGTTTCGTTACGTTAAAAGAGCGAATAATGTAAGACCTCTTTGACGCCACTTCCGCGTCACCTTAAATATGTGGTCAAGTCGCATCGAAGAATTTCTACCCTATTAAAGGGATGTCAAAGTGGTACTTGAAGGGACAATCGTTGATGAAACTTATCTCCGAACCGGGGGTACCGAATCGTTTCAAACTGTACAGCGCGAATATGGAGGCTATAAGAAAAGTCCCGACGCCCAGGGAATCTCATACTTTATAATAGAATGTATCAAATTTTTATGAAAAAATTAAATAAGAAATTCAAGTTTCATGGTTGGCAGGACAATCCTTACAGCCTCCATGTTTACGTTGAAAAGTTTGAAACGATGGAGAGACAAATTTGAAGAAAAATGTCATCGTTCAATCGTTTCAAATTTGACAACGTGAATATTGAAGCTATAGGGAAGGTCTTGACCCCCATTAAACTTGAATTTTTTCTTAATTTGTTTATAGATGTTTTCAGCATATTTGATAAAAATCGAAACTTCGTGAGTTTCAGGACCTACCTTACCGCCTCCACATTCACGTTGTAAAGTTTGAAACGATTCGGTGCCCCCACTTGGTAGAAAAGTATCACGAAGAGATGCCACTTTCACATCCCCTTAAATATACTCGGGTGGTCGAGTCACTTGAAAGAACGGCCAAACTATTATGTTAAGGCATGCGACATGAAACACCCTGTACATCTCACGGTAGAGTATAGCAAAGGGGAGTAAATTCGGGAGAGACCGTGGGTGGCATACCGACCGATGACAGAGACCTTTCGGCGGCCCTCCTTTCATAGAAACGATTTAGTCGCGTTCTTTTTGCCGCTCCTTTCGACTCCCTAACTATTATATCACGTTAACGAGCCAGGGTTCACTCGGACGATACGACACCCGGACCCGCCCATCCGAATGTCGCATCCGTATCATCGATAATACCTGACGTGGGGTCGACGGGCAAAACCTACAAACCAGACCGTAAAAAGAGGAAGGAATTTGTTGTTAAGGTTTTCGCTACCCTTTTTATCCTAATCGACGCGACTGACTTTTATCTTACGTTCTTCGTTCCTTTTACGGTTAAATGTCACATTTGTATCGCTAATAATTTTGAATAATTATCATCGATAATACCTGACGTGGGGTCGACGGGCAAAACCTACAAACCCGATCGTAAAAAGAGGAAGGAATTTGTAGTTAAGGTTTTCGCTACCCTTTTTATCGTAATCGACGCGACTGACTTTTATCTTACATTCTTCGTTCCTTCTACGGTTAAATGTCACATTTGTATCGCTAAGAATTTGCGGGAAGGGTTGGTACTTGAAATCGAAAAAATTCACAGCAAAAGAGGAAGGAATTTGCAATAAAGATTTTTGCTACCTTTTTTATCGTACGTTTTTGTTTTACATTTTTCGCTCCTTCATGAGTCAAATGTCACATTCGTTTATGAAATTTTTCTCTCTAGCGTTTCAAACTTCACGCGATAATCCGAAGACCAAAAAAAGGAGAAAAAGTATGGAGAGAGGATCTCGCGAAAGCTGAGTCGCCAAAAGTCCCAATCATCCGACGGCAAATGAAGAAAATTTGTTAATAATATTTATACTAAATTTACTTAGTGTCTGAATACACAAATTTCGCCACCTTGTTTCCGCGGTACAGTTATGGAATGGAATCTAAACCCTGAAAAAGGAGAAAAAATATGGAGGGAGGATCCCGCTGAAAGGAGAGCCTCCGAAAGTCTCCGTCATTCGACGGTAAATGAAGGAAATTGATAGAAAATTGATTTAATACCTAAATACCAAAGTTCCGCCGCTCGTCTCGAATAAGCGCCGCCTTGTTTACGTGATATAATAGTTATGGAATCGTATCCGAAAAGCGGGAAAAAGGTAAAAATCGGGATGAAAGGAGAGACGCCGAAAGGTCTGGGCGATCGGGCGAAGTACCACCCACGGGGTCTCGGCCTATAATGGCGCCCCTCCGAGAATTTACGGCCCGCGGCCCCTCTGATTCCGAGCGATTCCGCCGCTCGCGTAATCTCCGCGAATCGGCCTGAGAAAATAGACCATAACTCGCGCCACTTTCCCGGGAACCGGCCTGAGTAATTGACCAAACATACGCGAGTCGATCCTTGCGAAAATACACGGGCTAATTCCGCTTCGCTCTTCCCAAGATTCCCCGATTTCCCGATTCCTCGATTCCTCGATCAAGTGCTCCGATTTGCCGATCTCCGTCATAGACGTAGGATCACTGATCTATATATACCCTAAAAAATGGCGGGCACGTCAACTAATATGCTAGTATGTGTACATGCGTCACGACAACGCGTCTTTAAGGCGAAGTGAAACGCTCCTCAAATCGGTCGACTCGAAAAAAAAACACCTTTTTTTAAGGAGATTGGACCGAACTGTCGGAAACTTTGACACACGCCTCGTGATCACATAAGAATTGTCTTGACACTTTCCAAATTTGAATTTTCGAACAAAAATTTCTTTAGACCAGAACCAAAATAGCGTCGACACCTCTCATACTTCGAAGGAAATGCGATCATTGAAGGCTCTGATATGAAAAACGAAAGTGTCAGG